GGGGGTATAGCTCATATTGCAACATGTGGTCGTGGTTCTGATCGTAAACAGCACGCTCGGTTAGCTTTGAAACATACATATATGTTATTGACCAGCGTGAGGTCCGTATTGGGAAAAACTGTGCCCTCTGTCTTGGATACGGTACTCAAGACAGAGGGCACAGTCTTTCCCAATACGGACCGACCTATGCTGATCAATAACATTTTAATTTTTTTCTAACACATAAAAAAATGATTGCCATAAGAACCCGAATGATTTAGAGCTACAATTACCAGTTTAATTACGGGAAAATCCTCCATAAACTTAACAATTTGTTAGCGAGGGAATGAGAAAGAAAACAGACATTATCAAAATTAAAGGGAAAGCTTTCACCGAAACATTTTTATTTGTAAAGGTAACTTAAAAGGCTTCCGAGCAAAATTTGAAACTTTTTCGATAACTGTCATGTGACACCTGTCAATTGATGAGGAAAGAAGCGTATGCGTTTGAATAAATAACAGCACTGGCAAACACGCACGAGTTATGCACCAATCAATGTCTTGCCCCAATGGGGGGAGCCCGGGCATACACGGGCTATTGACAAAATAGCCTTGCCCAGGGGAGGGGCTGTAAACTTTTATTAAAACAGGGCTCACCCCAGGGTAGGGTTTATTGACCATTTCGTCAGAGAAGGACTGGGAAAGAGAGAGTCAAGTTGGCATAAATCAAAATGGCGACTTTCGCGCCAACTACGTCAACAGACGCAAAAAAGGTAAGAAAAAACTCAAATACATTCAGCTTGTTTATTTTTCATTTTTTAATAGCCAGTACACTAAGTTTTCATTCAATGTCTGCACATTCTGTGCATATATAAATAGGAAAAAAAGTTAAAGTTGAAACTTTGTTTGACAGTCTCGCTCTTGGCATCGTGGCATACTCCTCAACTTCTGTTGAGGAAATATATCTCTCAGTGTCCTAGTATTCCTTAGATAAATTAAACATGTATCTTTCCTCCTTGTGTGGGGCCTATTTTCATTCTAATAAGGCCCTTCAGAGGGGCTTATTGACAATTTTTGTTTTTCAAAAATGTCAATAACCCCTGGGTATGCCCGGGCTCCCCCGTTGGGGCAAGACATAGATTGGTGCATTAAATGGCTATGGTAAGATCTTCTCGTAAATAAAAAAAAACACTCGGAGATCTTCGGTAAAGTATTATTTATTTCCAACGACAATTAATCTCCAAAGACTTACCTCTGTTCCGTTTTAAAATGTCACGGAAAGTCAAATTGTAAGTGAATAGAAATGTTTGTTTTGGTGTTGCAGTCTACTTATTTGTTTTCTGTAATGGTGTGTGTAAATCGGTTTTTCTTCCACCAAAAAGCTGAAGTCGATGAGACTCTTTACAGCTAGACACAAAGGAATTTAATGCGACTTATATTCATCGAATTCCTTCGGTTACTGTTGTGAAATTTACGGTAGTAATGTCCAAATTCAAAGGACTTGCAAAGAATAGGCGAGAGTGTATTTTATAGAAGAACTCAAAACTTCACAAACGAGCAAACTGCCTTGAAGAATTCAGATATTAGCGATTGAGGGTCACATTGATTAACGTAATTGTTAACTGCAACTACCTCTCGTTTGAACTTTTTTAGTGACTTTTTGGGAAGGATTATTGAATTATAAATTGTTTCTAGGCCGCGTTTCAATCTTTTTAAAAACAAATTTAGTACCACACAATTTATTTCGAAATCAATTTTTGCGGAAAAACCAGTGATTTGAGAGTGAGAGAGAAGAAAGAATTACTATTATTTATCGCCAAAAGGTCGTGACCGAAGTCTTTATTTTAAAAATTCTGCCCAGCCAGCAAAATAAGATGTATTTGTGACAAATTGCAACGAAGCTTGAAATGTTCTGCAAAGTGACTCAAGCGAAACGGATACCGCCCGCTGTGAGGAGGCCGGATGGGGAGAATACTGCCCGCTCTCGGAACCAATCAGAGCACACGATTTGTAGAATACCGCCCGCTCACGAACTGAGAAAAAAATAATGTAAGTTATTGACGGGGCAGAGGTTTAGGAATGATGTTTCTTTCCCAGATATGAGGCGCGGATCTACAAGAGCACACTTCCATTTTAACGGATAATGCCTTAATGCAAGAGAAGAATTTAAAATGCATGTTATTGTGGGTAAAAGTTCGTCCAAGCAGGCTACTACCATTGATGCCCGCACAAGATCGAGGCTACAAATCTTTTTAGTAGTCTTTCGTACTAGTGCACCAACCTCGTCGTACGAGAGTTGCCGGAAATTTAGAAGTTTTTTCTCTTCCCCAACCACTGGGTCCTCGGGTACTGTAGTCTTCACCTCAAGAGTAATTTCAGAGGAGTCCAATGCTAAGCAAACAAACAAACAAACACTTTATTTACCTAGGGTAAAATACATTATTACGGGTTACATAATCCGACTAAAAAATATAAAAATCTGCTAATCTGATGTTGTGAATTTTATGGCAGAAGAATTCACATATATCATTGACGAGAGATTGATGATCATCATAGTCAAGGAACAACAAACGCTGTCTTGGGGCGGGGAGCTTTTTCATATTCCTAAACAGCTTTCCCTGATCTTCACTATTGCTATCTATAAACTTCGATTAAAAAGCTTTCCGAGCTTTATTAATAATGTACGTCACATGGTTCTTTTTCTTTTTAAAGATAGCAAAGTCAGATTTGTATCCCGATCTCCGCCATACCCTTTCTGCTTTGCGGCGTTCTCTTTTGGCCATAGCAATCTTTTCGTTATACCAAGGAACTTGGGACTTCGATCTGATAACCTTTTCCTTTACTGAGTGGTGCATGATGGTCAATCCGCCTCGACAGCGTTTCTTGATATTCATCAACCAAATGATTAAGATCAATAGCATGACCACAATGGGCGTGTTCTACACTGCACAGTCTAGATAGACAAAGATAAATCGTCACGAAGCTAGTCGATGTCAATTGATTTTAACTTCCTGTACGTTACCTTCTTGACTCTCTCGATTGGTCTTCGTATTCTCAGATGATATATTACAGATGCACGATCAGAGAAAAACTGGTCGAAAACAGGCGAGTTGTGGATTAGATGGCTTGTTTTGTGTGTAATTACCAGATCCAAGGTGTGTTTGTGAATATGAGTGGGCTTATTCATATGTTGCTGGAGGCCAAGTGAATCAATCAGGTCCAGGAATTTTGTAGCATCTGGGTCGTCAGAGACGTCAACGTGGATGTTAAAATCACCCACGAACGATGACCACGTGCTCCTTTGAAAGAATAACTGATTCCATGTAACCAGAGAAATCCCGAAAAAATATGCTCATTGGTACCTTGTGGTTCGGTGAGTAGGGCTCTCGATCTATGATGACAATTCTGAGATCAAGGACAGCACCAGAGGAGACCACCCACTCATAGTATTCTTATGACTCAATATGACCAGATCGAGAGAGACACTTTCAAGGAGTCATTGAATAAGATAGCTGTACCACCGCCACGACGTCCTAACGAGGTTTATCAAAGAACAGTTGGGCTCTGAGAGAATCATCATTCGAAGTCAACCATGTCTCAGTTATAGCGACTCGATCAAACTTATGATTCAGACATAATCCACAAAGTCCGCTATTTTGTTCCTTATGGACTGGGTGTTCATTGGGCATAATGCCAAGGAAGTAGAACGAGGCATACCAGTATACAAATTCTTCTCAGTGTTGATGTTAATAATATTGGACATCCCTCTGCCCAAGATAGAGCGATCAAGATCCGCAGTGCCAAGTGAAAATTCTATGAAAGGTAAGTAAGCAAGCAAGTAAGTGAAGACTTTATTTAAAGAGGGTAGCACTAAAATAGTCTAAAAATACTAACAAACCCGTGGCCCTCTAATAAAGGAAGGCCTGCGATCTCCGTTACAAGAATCCGAGCAAGTGGTTTAAATATATCTACTCGCTCTGTGGTGCCCAGCAGTTGTTAAAAACCCCAACTACACCAAACAAGGCTGAATTACAGAACACAGCGGATTTTCTGCTTGACGCTTCTGCTGCTCCGTGGAAGGATTGCCAATGACTTGGACGAGACCTCCGCCTGTTCCAAATATCGCGCAAGTCAACACTATGCTCAAACATGTGAATCCGAGGAAAGTAACAGATGGTAACGGTGTGCCTGCGTGGCTCCTAAAACGGTTTCACGAGAAACTGGCACCAGGCCCTGGTTGTTCGAAGGATGGATAACGCTATACACTGGATAAATCTCTATCTAGTGGATAGCGCAGTACGTTTTGGTAACACTTATCCGCTGGATAGCGTTATCCGCCCTTTGAACAACCGGAGCCAGTTGTACACGATATTATCCGTGCCAGTATAGTACAGTCCAAGTACCCTACCAGCTACAAGCATGCTCTTGTCAGCCCGATACCCAACAAATTAATCGCGAAAGAAATACTTACCAAGGGCAACTTTTCGCGCCAGAATGATTTCTTAGCAAGTCTTTGGCGACCAGAGAACCACTAATCCTAATGATTGTAACCGTACCCATAAGCATCATAATATAATAATGAACAGTTTCAAGTGTCTCCCTTACAAACGCAAGATGATAACTTTCTGAGTCCTTCACTAAATGGATGTAGACTCCACATGGACGACATTTTCAGGGTTTCCCTCATAACCAATGGGAGACTTTTTTTTTCTGAGTCAATTAACATCAGTCATTTACTTCCAGAATATCACTCTAATAATTCCGGTAAGTATGAATATTTCGAATGGACGACATTTTTCAAGGTTTCCTTTAACCAAAAGATTTTTTTTCTGTCTCTAGCAACATCAGTCATTTTCTTCCAGAACAGCTGTAGTAATTCCGATAAATACATTTCCATTTTTAGCATTAAACCTTCACTATTCCGATGGACTAGCTGCGCGACTGGAACCTATTTGTGTATGATATCATATAAATATATTCTGGATACCAAGTTTGAGATGTCGTACTAAGAAGTGAGACAACTCAAGTTGTTATTAATGGACTTTAATTGGCTAAACTAACCTGGCCATTTGCATTTATCGTTAATAAGGAGTCTCCTTATTATGAATTTGGGTCAATAATACTGTACATACAATCTCCATTTTAAAAGAATAAAATGTTCTATCTACGCTGTCAAGGTCCATAACACTATATCTGTACATTTAAGAGACTACAATCAATCCTGGTTTGTTTGGGCACAATCGGCTGTGCCACAGAAATTTCAGGGGAAACAAACAACCCCCATAGCTAGCATCATGTTTTCGTTACCTTTCACTTTCGTTCAAACCCTTACTACGCTTCCTACGCATCTATGCAGACAGTTAACACTAACTGGAAGCTTGTGGTGAAAGGAACGTACCTTGGGCGACTTCAGAAAAATCAGTAAGAACAACTTTCGAATTTTTCAGAAACAACATTTAAACGTAAAAGGGAAAAAATATAAGAAGTGTTTCTTAGGTTAAACTTAGGTTTACTAGGTTTCTTAGGTTTACTATGACCGCTCTTAAAACGCAAACTTTAGCACAAAGGCACCTTGATTAAAACCTATCCCAACAGCGGCATGAAATTCTGGTCGGAACAACTAGAAACTCATTCGATAAAAGAGAAACAATCCTTGCAACGAGCTCTCGTATCATTGGTTACTGCAGTGTTTGATCGTTGAAAATTTGAACATTCTACGGTACAAAGAGCTATTCCAGAAACTTACAGAGACTTCACAAACACAGCGTTTACGAACCCATCACCTGGTATATCAAGCTAAGTTACGGTAATTTCATTCAAGATGTCAGTTTAGCAATTCAAATTTGTCACAATTAGATCATAACATATCTTAATATATCTTTATCTCTATAACCTAAACACCTGATGTTGATGCAGATCACTCTCAGTTATTAAAGAAGTAAAAAATCTTAAATAAAACTTCACTACCAGAATCCTTCCTATAATTTAAAATAACGATAAAAAAGAACATTGCAGACTAAAATGCCTTCTCTCGCCTAACTTAAATTGACACTTGAAACTTAGTCAATGCTGTGCCTGCACAAAGCTTTGATAACAGTAAATTTTTCGGGGCTTAAGATCTGTTGACGACTCATCTCTGAAGCACGTCGACATCAGAAGCAACACCGATGGTCATAAGTATCCTGTGGTGGCCACCCCCCACACGGTCTGTACTGGGTGGCCACCCCACACGGTCTGTGCTGGTTCCAAGTTGTACTAAAACTACAGGAGCAAAGGGGCGAGTGTCGCTGAACTAGATCTGTGACTGTGACTCATATTCTGCACCGTCGTCACTCCAGTAGGCCCTGTTGTTTGTTAGGCTCCTTCCCTGACGCAAATGGGTCGTTGATTCGTCACGTGAGCGGCTCGTGTGCCGAGAAGAAGCCGTAGAGGAACGGTACCCACTGGAGGCCTGGTAACAAAAAAAGGCGAGAAGAGCTAGCAAATGATTGGACAATAGGTCGATTACGACGAACCTAACCACTGCTACATTACTCTAGGATGGCTAGTTTAAAAACATTATTTGACTATCAAACACAAGTGAGTCTGATTACTAACATATTCTTGAAGATATCGCTAAAACGTACAGAGGAAAAGGAATAAGAGCTCAAGGTGTGGTTGTTCAAAGCGTAATTAACCCAAAATTTGAAGTAGCTAAACTACTTATGCTACACTCAATTATTTTGGAAAACCCAGCAACCTACCAAAGATGTTAACCAAGAATCAGCAAAGGCTAATGGTCGAAAGAAAACTAGATACCGACAAACAGCCAATGAGGTCAGTAAAAAATCGAGGTTTTACAACAGAGTCACAAGAATGAAACAAGGAATTTGAAATCAGCGTACTGGCTTGAGATGAGCATAGAATTAACTGAATCTAAGATCATCTCTCACCCTCAAGAACAAAACTGTATCTCTGACTGACTCTGGAAAAACTGCGAAAAATGAAAGCTAACCGTAATGCTTTTCAAACTATTTCTTAGGTGAAAATGAGTTAAAAAGGCTAAACTGACCGTTTACAACCCAAAAACGATAAAAAAGCTGCAAACAACTAATCAATCACTGTTTACAAACAAATAAAAAAACATCACAAGACCAATAAGCCAACACCTCTGAATGACAATTTCTTCAGATTATAGTGACTACATCGCTGTAGCTTGTCGAAACGCGTCACCGAAAGCGTTCCTCTTTGAATTTATCTTATTCGTCCAGAATGGAACCATTAATACATAGAATACGGAAAAGTTTATGTTTTAATTAACCAGCTTACGAACAACCACACCAAGAAATTACCGAGCAAGAAGTACCAATGCCAAGTAAGAAATCTTGACCTGTTAGAATTGGGTCAACAAATTTTTCCGTTATTCCTTTTTTGAAATTGCCACAGAGAGAAAAACAAAATACGATTCAAGAAACGAAAACGTGTAAGCAGGCGATGTAATAGGTGGTGTTCATAGTAACACAGCGTACTAGATAGCACATGGAATAACATGACATATATTTTAAGTGCTGATTGAGTACATTGTTGTTAAGTTTCCTCACAGTGTAATTTAAGTTTAAGAGGCTTGTCATCTTAAATAAAACTCCACGGCTTTGGCTCTCGAAGCACGCAAAGTATGAGGTGATTTTACTTTTTCTATTCTATAATAAGGTGCTCTACACTAGGTGTTTATGCTAGCTGTTTGACGGGTGCACAAGAAAACCGAATGACTTACCACGTGCTATACGTCGTAGCATTCGGTGCCAATTGCGAGTTCTGGATTTGTTAGCATCTTAAGTAAAATTAAATAAGCTTCAGTTACTGGTTAGAAAGTGGGGGTGGAGGGAGTTACTCGACAAACAATAGGCAATGTGGATGAATACGCACACTAAAAAAGAAAACAAGGGAAAAAAATTCAATTCAACATTCGTGCATTAATTTGTCTGTGTGTGTTTAAAGCTATAAATAATCTGTCACAAGTTTAACTTATTTGTACAGATTCAGTTTATTTAGCTGTTTAAGGAGTGACCACGGTGGCGTCACGTCACAAGTCGAAGGGAAGTCAAATTGTCTCTTGTATACGGGCTCACTCGAATTGTTTAGCAAGCCTAAGGAAACGTGACGTTGCATCTGCAACTTCAGTTGGATTCTGGTAACGATGGATGATAGAGAATCGGATCACCATCCACATTTTCCTTTGATAGGTCGACAGTTTTAGACAATTACACTTAAACTTATCAAGTACTTTGCATTAGGTTTAAGTAAAAACCAATCACGTTACAACCCTGAAAACAACAAGAATATCTCAACTACAACAGAATAAAAAAACGCACTTCAAATATCAACCTCTTGAAGTCACGAGTGCGAGATGATCATAGTTTTTTGGAGACTATCATCAGCACACAAACAAAAACAAACACCAAGCTATTCTAATTACAGATCAAAATGAGTAACACATAACGCATCGTCCAGACGCAATCCAAACGTTAAACATGAGAATAAACAAGATAATAGTAATTATCATATAAGGGGAAAAATTACTGAATTGTTATTGGTCAAGACAGAGGGCATTTTTTCTTAATTTTTGTAATTGCCCCGGGCAAAATTACTTGCAAATGATTGGCTGAAAATCGCTTAGCAACGGCTGCCAAGGTAAAGAAATTTCTGTTTGTTTTGTAACAATGGCGTCCCGTTTTGCGCGAGATCAATAAGAAAACACTTTGCCCCTTATATTATAAACAAGTAATCACATGGTTCCTNATAATAATAATAATAATAATAATACTACTACTACTACTACTACTACTACTACTACTACTACTACTACTACTACTACTAATAATAATAATAATAATAAACACTTATTTCGTAACTGTCCAAATGTTACTATGAACTTACCAGTGAATTTCTGTTTCTAAATCCTGACATCGAAGACGAACGACCCACAGAGTCCTATTAAAATCACGAGCAAAGGAAGGGTACGACGTCAAATCCAGCAAACTAACAACTGATTGGCACACATGCTAATACAACTGTTCCCTGACAGCTGACAGTGCCCTGAACTTAGCTATGTCACTAGATTTGATTAAAACACCTTAACCAACTATGTTAGAGCCAAATTTTACACCTTTCATTGCTTTCTGAGTATTATCGGCCCAACATAATAGCAACACCAATCTTATGAAGAAATAAATATTTTCATACCATGTTATCCTCAGAGGCTATATAATCGCTTGTCTCCGATAAACGAGCGTAATCTAGAAAAGTAATAAGGAAAAAAAAGAAAAGATAAAACACAATCAGTGACGCGACAAATCCAAAGAATGGCTGTGCTTCTCTGGAGCCGAAAAAGTTAGTTTCAAAAGAAAATATAATTCAATATTAAAAGAGATTCCAAGGCATGTTTAGGGCTGTGTTTACCAGAATCAAAGTCAATGGTAGATGTCGGAGAGCTGGGTCGAGGTGAGTCTGAATGAAATCCGCCTGGGAAACTATCGTCATTAGCAGCGAACTGGGAACCAGGAAGTTCTCTTGTGCGGCGAGATGATGATCGACCCTGCTTCAAGCGCTGAATCTGAGAGTTAGCTAACTGAAGATCACATCGTAATCTAACACAAAAACGTGAAAAATAAGTCGGAAGCACTAACATATGAAAACAAGGACAATGATGGAAGCAAAACATGGGAACTATGGCCGAGTTAAAACGATTCGAATGCTAGAAGAATTCAATTTATTACTGAATACTGAAAAACATGGAATGTGCTGTGTGTTTGAGTTATAATACCCAATGAAACGGCGAGAGTCTCTTGAAAGCCAGGAGGGAAGGGACGATGTTAATTGTGCACTTTCCCATCTTAAAAAGATATCGAGAAAGACGTGTTTACATCGCAACTTTCTCTGATGGCAATATTGTGACCTGTTAAAGTTTCAAAAGTAAAAGTTTCAAAAGGAATAGACTTACCTGTCTCGCACCATATCTCGATCTGTTATAACTCCCTGAAAAAATAAAGAGAAAAAACTCATAAGAGTAAGCTGATAAAGGAACAGAACAGAGAGAACTTTTCCGAGATACTTACGAGTAACGTCGTGAGTTGTTCATTTAGAACCGATGTGGAAGAAACGAGTTGTTGCTGTAAGGAGAAACAAAGACAATCTTGTAGGTAACAGTAAAAACTAAAGTAGTTGCTATTGAAGCGAGGTAATGGATCTTACTCAAAATCCGCCTTTCTCTGGAAATTACTCGTATCGAAAGGGAACCACATTTGGCGATTAAACCTTATCCTTTTGTTCGTTTGTATAGCTACATACTGATTACCTTTCTGCTCACAATTTACTCCCGGTTCAATATTATAATGATGAATGCAGTGTTTGTATTGTGTATACTCTGTAGACTTGTAACAGAACTTAGCAGAGGATATGAACAGACCTGGGGCGAGAAGTCACCCTGAATGCCACCATATCCGAGGTGTCCCACTCCCCGAGACATATCATCGATATTTGGGTTAAGCACATCGCTCACAGCTACTGTCAAACGATTCGCTGTAACAACAAATAAAGTAACTACCTTTATGATACTAAACTAAAGTAGCGCAGTTATAACAATAGACCACTCCAGTCGTAATTCACATTCAATATAACACAGTGCTTGGAAATGCATAAAAGATTACGGTCCTCTTTCAGTCAGAATGAATCAGTAAAGTGCAGTTCAAGATTTAAGTCACTGGGTTGGCAGTTGAACAAGGAATTAGAACTCACACATATTTCGGCTTACCCAGGTCACGAGAGCAAATCTATAACGAATAGCTGGCATTTTTTTTTTGTTTGTTTCATCGGGAAAACGTCTGTAATTTGCGACATTAAAAACATAGGCTTGAACACTGAACACTGATAAACAACAAGGACTAACAACAATTATCAGACAAAAATATTTCGTTCAACGATTAGCCTGTTGGCCCGTTAGTGCCTTTTAGAGTAAACAAAGCATTCGAAGACATGAAACATTTGAAACTCACCCTGAAGAATTGCCGCTAGTATTAAATCCCTATAAAAACAACGGAGCATCCAATATTAACAACCCTACAGCAACTGTACGAAGTCAACAAGTCCGTAACATCACTACCAGGAAAAGATGCGAACGACGAGACGACAGAAAATCTTTTAGAAAAAATCATAGGAGGTAGTATGAATTGCAGATGACAGTGTGCTAACTGTTTCACCTTGCCGTCTTACTGCACACTAGCCGCAATAGGACAACGTTAAAATAAGGTCATGCAAAATCAGAAAAAAAGAAAGTTAGGTCATGTTAGTATCAGACGAACGTAACAGAACTGTATACCTAGCCTCCACTGAATCTCCGTTTACGTGACTCTGAAAATAAGGGACACAACTCATAATTACTAAACAAAGCATTGCAAAACAGTACACTGGTAACCAGTGGTTTTCTAGCGACTGAAAATAAACATAATTGTCTCTCAACGCGTGATCTGTGTGACACTGGCAAGATCCTTAACAGCAGCACTACGAGACGACTTTTTAAGGGCAAGCTCAATCTATCAAGGTCAGTAAAGAATGCTCTGATTTTCAATTTACAAAATCTTTTGTATTCAGTTGCTGGAGTGTAACACCAGCAACGTAGATATGACGGCTCAAATCATTTTGTAGCCTGTTTCCTGCTTACATCACTAGTGGCCGATCCCATCGTCATGTTTGCTCCCTACAAATAAAATGACAATAAATTGATGAGAAAAGAAATTGTACCTGGCGCTTAAACAGGCCATTGAGCCTTTTGGGTGATTCTATTTCTATCTCTACTGGCTGGCTCAATACACGAAAAAAAATAACATTTACCCTTAGCTCAGCGACAAGTCTTGACTTTTCCTCTAGAATCTTGCGAAGGTCATTGTCTTTAGATCTCAGCAGCTCTAAGAAAGAAAAACGAAACAAAAAGTTACACAAATCCTTAAAAATTAATCAGTGTTTTTTCCTGGAAGTACTAAGGCAAAACTTTGTGTTTTTTACGCAAGAAGCTGCTGTATAGGGGTAGCATCATCATAAAGGACGATTCAAACATTGTCCTGGATTTAATAGGACTAGAAACTTTTCGCTAGACAAAGACATAAAAAATTTAACTGAACGATACATTCAGTGCTAAATGAAAGCGCAAGGGTTACATCTACGCTGTTTATGACTTTCATTAAGTTGACGATTACATGCTTGGTGAATCCCTGATATTCCTCGTTTAAAGACAAAAATAAACCAAGAAAACTAAATTAAACTTAACAAGAAAGAAAGAATACGATCCCGGGATAAAAGCGGACAGAATAGTGGCTCAATTTGTCAAGGGGGAGTGGACAAAGGATCGTGGTAGCCTTTATCGCGCTGTACCATTCAAAATGTTCCTATTTCTCTCTCCACGGTGGTCATACGTATACAAGCATACCTAAGAGTACAGCAGCTGAACGGGAAGGATGCCCACCCACAGATTCATCTTGTTCATCTGCAGACACGTGCACAAAGCTCCCTCTCATTTTCAGTGTGTCGTTAGATGAGCTGGAGGATGATTCAGAGGTCACACTGTTTCGGTTCCTCTCCAGTGGAGATCTCTCGTCAACACTCTCTTCATTTGTCAGATCTGCCAAAGCTCTGTTGAGAGGTGAGGATCCAGCCGCTTCACTGTCCTCAGCAGAAAGAACCTGCAACATATTAAAACATCATGTTCTAAACATTTCCGAACTTTTATCGTTGCGCATAAAGAGAGCAACGTCAAGAACATTAAACCTAAACCTTAATGAATACAGTTCTGTGATGACATTGCTGGAGCACTTCAACTACAGCCAATAAACTTACATCCTATCAAATTAAATTTCAATTTTGTAGCATTAAAACTGTGGCAGTTTCAATGATGCTCGTAAACACACGGGTCAGTAGTAAGACAATTTCTTTCCTTTATTCAAGTACGATACACAAGGGCTCAAATATCACTTTCATTAGCCATAACCTATAAATTTATAGAAATACTTACATCAGTTTCTGAATCACTCGGAGGACTGGACTCAGCTGTAGCCATTTGAAGCTTAACTGGCGATTCGCTCTGTACTTGCACCTGTTCTTTACTCTCCATCCCTGTTATTTCAGTCTCTGTTTCAGGTTCTGAATCTGGTTCAGATTCAGTCTCAGGCTGTAATTCTTGGCGACCAGCAGGCTCAACAATTTTAGGAACAGCCAGTTCCTCCTGAGTGGCTGGTGCCTCACTCTCTGTTTCTTCATCTTCGTCATCATCATCTTCCTCCTGATTCTCAGTGCAATCTTCCTCTTCATCATCGGCAGGATCAGAAAAATCATCATCTGCATCTGTTTCTTTCTCAGTGTTCTCCTCTTCCGCTTTAACGTCTTCCTCGATCGGCTTCTGTTCCTTAGCAGGTTCTTCCTTTGCTTGGATTTTCACTCGTTTGCTAGGCAGGTCAGCGAGATCTAATTCCGTTACAGGTTGTCGAACACCGCCAACTGATACTGCATTGCGGCGACCTCGTTCTAAAGAGAAATTAAGATACCTGCCGTTAAAGAAGTGTTTGTTTTGGGCCCCTGTACCCCGCTGGGGAATTTCGCGAGGTTTTCCTGTCGGTTTTCCTGTCGGTTTTCCTTTCGGTTTTCCTGTCAATTATCTTAATTCATACTTCTTACAATGGAGAGACACTGAGACGATAAATCTTCTTTCCCAAGAATACAACTCGTAGGACATATTCATCTCTCTTTAAGACTACAAGATAGTGTTTAGCTTGAGCCATCTTGACGTGAAGGAATACTGCGAATTCTAAGGAGTCAATTGAACTAGCCCAAATTCATAAAGTTAACTTTCTTTAAAATCAGCTAGACTGTTTGATTTGGCGTATGGAAAAGTTTACCTAGGAACGGGTCGACGCAACAATTTCTAACTTAGGAAACAAAATTCTTATCCTTTTTCATAGTTTTTACATTAATTTTAATTCAAATTCATTATGCACTCTTCATTCAGTATGATTGTCATTCTAATTTTTTAGCTTTTCTAATACGGACAACCCTGCAATTCTCTTTACAAATTTAAGAATTAAATACTCATATACGAATAATTAACATAATTACTGTAAATGAAGCAAACCTTTTATTTTGAATGCTTCCACAGCATCGGTTATGTACTTATACCAACTATGAAAAGAAAACACAATTTTTCCGTTAGCTGCTTTTGACTCCTCTCATCGATAAAAGGACTCCTGCAAGGGTCAGTTTCAAATACTATTGTTACTAAACATGGGGGTGTTCGGCTTAGCGAGTGTATAATTCTGTTATTCACCTGGATACCTCAGCAAATAATGACTACTATTCTTTTGGAGATGATAACGGTCTTTGCCAAAATACGATGCAACTTGATTTAGATTTGATTCTTGTAACTTGCCATTTTGCTGGTACTATTGAATAAAACTTCATTCCCTTTGAATTTTTCTATGTATTTAATTTTGGGGTTTCTGATTCCTGTTTGCTCTCGCATTTTATGTTTTGTTCCGTAATATACACGTTTTATAAATTATAGTAATTACTGATACAACAGGGTAACATAATAGAGACGTCTCACTTTTTCCTATCTGTTACAGTTGCTGTCACCAGTTCGTAAATCTGCGGTCCAACTGAAGAAGACGTACTCACAAGGAAGAAAGCTCTCTTATCTGATAGTAGTGCGATAAAGACAATCAAAATATATGGACTTCATATATACATTGTATCCAAAGACAATCATGTAGATAAAACTTCTAACTCATAGACTTCGACATAAACGATTAAAAAGCAAAATTTAAGCATGGTTAGTAACTGAAAAACATTTTCAGCCTTGAGACTACATTTGTGCTATTAGCCTTTTTCACGGAAACACCTGCAAAAAGATTTCAACAGACGCGTTGCGCGAAAACATTGAATCATGTTGCTATTGTTGGGTAAGTGTAGTTTGGAATATAGTGAAATGCGAATCTTTTGCTCCCTGCGCATGAACTACTAATGTACCGTCTCTAGATTAGACCTGCGCATTTTGCAAACCAGTTTCAGTGCTTTTTAGTGCAGGCCCGTTTCGGTAGATTGAGATAAGCAAACGAACTTTTCCACACAAGGCAAGGTTTGCGATCGCTGGTATTATCGATCAGTAAACCGGAGTGAGTCACTGCAAAGGTACAGTGAATTGAACTCAAAATATAGTCATACAAGATTCCTCTGCTTTGTGCCATTTAGGAGAAATAATAAACCTACCAGTTGCCACATTTCTTGTAAGCACGCTGCTCAGTTTTATTATCGGACTGTGTGTGGTCTGTACAGTAAACAAACAAACAAACAATAGATGATTTCTAGTATTCAGGGTACAAGAAAAACTTATAAAAGTTCTTCTACGACGTTACCTTTTCACTTTGATATCCCGCCTGGAAGGTCGAACTAAGACACTTGAGAACAAGCTTATCGTCCTGCTTTTGAAGTAGAATTAGCAAGTCTTCTAACAACAGTACATGGAGATCTGATGAGAGAAAAATCAAAACCCAATATAAGCAAGGACACTACTATGTAGTGTGCAACAAAAGATTATTAAGTGCCCACTAGTCCTATATGATTTCTGTTACTTTACCATAAAATATTAATAATCCTCCCCAGAAAAAGGTTGCTGAAAAAACCAGCTCGTTATAACGATTACAAATAAAAAACGATGCAAACAGCCTATTCAAAAATCATATTTAATCATATCCACTAACCAACACACTTGGTTCTGTTTATTCTCCACGTAAGTGGACCATCGTAAACCAACTTCTTTTGGGTAAGGTCCAAGTTCTAAATATCAAAAGGCGAAAAATGCAAAGAAAATATGTTATAAACGAACGAATAAATCAATCAATCAAACAAATTACTTTAACCTCTCGTTGAAAAAAAAAACAAAAAAAAAAACAGTACATTAAGTTACGATATTGATAAAAAATAAAACTAAAAGTTGTGGAAATTCTAATTAACTAATTACCATGTATTTCCGAGGATACCTTTGACTGTTACGAAATAAAAGCTATGGCTTGATAAAATCTATGAGCCATCGGTTTTGTAGGGGAAAAAAAATTCACAATCACTGATGTATCCACACCTTAAACTCCTCCATTAGTTTGTTGTTGGTGTTCTCAAGAGGCCTCCGGTCGATTTTCTTCTGAAAATCTGCCAGTCTCTGCACGAGAAAAAACCGGAAAAGTCAATCGTATCTACCATAATCAAATTACCTGCTTGAGCTAGTCGGTAGCCATTTCAGGTATGGTAGCTTGCTCTTGCGTTTTTTTTTTTTTTATTGTTTTTTATTTCCCGTCCTTTTCTTTGTTAGTGACTGCATTACACTGCAGGAAATAAACCAAAACATACCACAGTACATTGTGTGCAAGCCACTCGTGAGAAGTATGCATTTACTAGCTTCATGGCTTCAGACTGCAGATATCTGCAGAGTAACTAATGTAAAAGCTGCAAAACGTACCCCCAATTGCTGACTGGAGAGTAAGGCTAATCAAAGTTTGATTTCAATCCATTCCAAGTGCCTCCTAACGCCGGTTATCCACCATATTTAAGTAATCTACACTTAAGACTAACGACGGAAGGACAAATTAAGGATCTTACTTGTTGATCTTCACATTCTTTAACACTTTGGTTTACGTAAGCTAGCAAGTCCTGCAACAACAACAACAACAACAAAATTGAAACGCTGTGTTACAACTGCTCACTAAGACTTCTATACTTCCTTCGAGAGGAAAATCACCACCTGCATGTCAAGCAATACTCGTGGCATAAATTAGTTCGTTCCATGATTTGACTTAACTGGATGGTATTCGTAACTGAAGTCCTAACTCTACACCGGGAAGATTTATAAAAAAAAAATTCAGACATTACTTTAAAGACATCCTTTCAAAGTGGAAGTTGTACAATTCCAAATTTCAAATTCTTAACTAACATCTCTTACCTTGGTACAGTGTATTGCTCTCTCGATATTTTTACCATCTTCATGTGAACCTACGTAAATATAAAAGTTTACACAAAGATTTAATCTAATCATTGGTTCCAGTTTTATTTTCCTATGCTTAAAACTCATTTTCATACGTTATTGTATGCCAAGAAAAGAACTTAACTACAACTTAGTTCAATGAACATCTTAATTTGGAATTCATGTAAAAAGCTGAAGCAGTGAATCAAAATAGAGCATAAAATAATGCAATTTGGGTTTACCCACATCAGGGTTCAGCTGTTTTGATTTTTCGATACCTAAAAATTTTCTTTAACTGCATGAAGAGAATGGTTAGCTAAATCCCTGTTTGATCAGCCATAAATGTAAGGTGCGATAAGGTAAGCGAGGAAAATTTTTAGCTCAGAACTCCTGTCATCAACGATTTTGTCTGTAGCAACCATACTTGCAACGTATCTCTGAGTGGCTACAACAGTCATTTCAGTGACACGTACTTGGAGTATTTTTCTGTATGCCTTCCAATAACATCGGGTATTTCGTCAATCGTTGATAGCTGTTTGAAATGATATCTTGCAGTCTCAATCTCCGACAGAGAGGATCATTTTCACAATTCTGCATGAAAACAGGAAACGCAGAACAACACCATTAACTAAGATCACGGTCATAAACTCTTAAGAGCACTATGAATTTAGTTTTGCTGTTACGTTACAATGGTACTTAACTCGAGGTGGTGGTTGAACCACCTGTTCAAATTTAAAGTACGAAGTACACATACCACTATAAACTGTTGCAGTTTTGGATCCTTTCTCTGTCGTTGCTGAAATAAAGAGAATCATCGAATTTTGAATATACCTTTAATCAAGGTGGGTGCTGATATAAAAATAACATCTTTTTCCTTGCTACACAACTGTAGCTAACTTCAAAGAAAAAGCAGAAACATTTAAGCCCAGTGCTTTCCCACCCCAAAGCTTGGATTACTATCTTGTATTTTGAAGCACCCTTATGTAAAATCATGAGCATAGGACTACAAACAGGCGAAAAAGAAACTATACATCAGAGAACGTCCTCCATATTGCTTTCTACTTCAGTGCTTAATTTCCTAAGAGCTCCTCCACAATTAATAATCTTTTGATCTGTTTCTAGAATATGAACACATAAGCACATTTGGGGGCCTCTGCATTAGAGTGCTGTTCACCTCCACCCCATGTTTCATCACAGTGAAGAGTATTAAGAAAGTTCCTTAACACATAAAGCTTTGACTTGGTTCACTAACCTTAAGCTGCTCAAGAGCAAATTTCTGATGATTACAAAATTGTGCACAAGCCTCCTTTGCTTGCTCACCAGGTTCTCCGTCGAACTGGATGAGAGAGAAGAAAATCAAAAATAAAGAGAAACATTCTAAAAGAAAGATGTACTGGACAACAATGCCACCAAAAACGACCACTTTATGAGAAAATCATCTTTAAGTAACTGCGCACAAGACAACAACAACAACAACAACAGCGGTCAAATCCATAACAACGAACGTCCACACTACAAGACATTCTCGTTTGACAATTACGACGACAACTAAAACAATAACTACAAAATGAAATAAAACGAATTACCCCATAATGGTAAAACTCCACCCAACAAGACTCAACCATTCGTGCATCACAATCACGACAACAACAACAACAAAGAGAGCAACTGAAGAATCTGTACCAAAGAACGTACACGCTGCAGGCCTTACCCTATCGAGCATAACGTCTCCTATACATGTAATAGCTTCACGAGTTCCTTCTTGTCTAGCCATCATGCTCTGCATTAATGACACTACAAAAGTGCACAAAGGATAAGACAATTATATTTTTTGCAGTCATCAACCTTGAACTTCTGCGAGAATATCGCACTTAAACATCAAAACCTGAGTATTCATCTAATCTAGTTCTAATTCGAAATGTCTCGAAACAGACACCTCAAATGCATCACCTCATTTAATCAAAATTGATGAACGCGCAAACGCCTGAAAATTTTAGCAGGAAATCTTTGCCGTTCTCATATGTCCATGAAACAAATGGCTTTGAGAAGGAAAGCTAAACTAAGTTTTACATGGACCATTTCCGGGAAAATTGTTGAGTACAGATTTCTTCGTTCTTGTTCGTTCTTGTTCGTTCACACTATTTCGTGTACGTCGCATCTACTAGTTAATTACAAATCAATTATTTTTTAGGTTTCATTACTTCTATTGTATACTTTTTCCTTGATGTGTTAGTACTGTTGCATAATGCTACGCATTGTTGTAAAAATATCGTCTTGCAGATCAATGTTCACGTTTAAATCCATTTCAATTTCAGTAGTTTCTTTTTCTTTTGACTTCTGCCGTAGAAGAGTATATTCTAACAAACTTAGCTAAGAACAGTCACGTGTACACTTAAGTTGAAGGTGGTATAGCATCAACTCAGTTTTATGTGGTGAATACAGCGCATTTGAGTGTTTGAGAGAAGGATCCTCATAAAACAAAACTACCAACAAACACATTGCTCCCTTACCATGAAGTTGAATCAAAGCATCTAAGTTCGGAAAAAGTTGGTGGATTTGCGCATAGGACATAATATTCATTTTTATCATGGGTTTGTAGAAAACCTGAAAACAAACAATACATTTCAATGAGAAAATCTTGTACTTTGGGAAAACTCGTCTCTTAATACTACACCTCCTTTCCAGGTTTTCGCTTGCTCCCACCCCCTGGGGTCAGAAGTGGAAAGGAGAGAGAGATGCTCCCACCCCCTGGGGTCAGAAGTGGAAAGGAGGGGGAGAGAGAGAGAGAAAGAGAGAGAGAGACCGGGAAGAGGATGATAAATACTGGAGAGGAAATTTCCCAGAAATTTTACACAAAAACATGCAGTCACTTCTCTCACCTTGCGCAAGACTTTTAAATTTCTAACGTGAGTTCTTTCAGTGTAGATAAGCTCTGAAAGGGAGGATAGAACAGTCATAAAAAGTCAAAACTAAACTTAAATCTAGTCTTTTACCATCTTTATGAAAACAGTCAATTTTCCTTGTGGTCATTACTGTAATACGCAGTTTGTACACGTACGTACTACATGTGCATTCAGATAAGTAGTAAAATAGTTAACAATTCTAAGTTTCTACAGGTAGCCACAAGTTCCAACTTCACGTTCAGGTTGCAAATTGTAAGAAATTTAAGTTAACCATTACCATGGATGAATTCTTGTCGCTTTACTTCTTTTCCTTTTAAAGCCTTTAAGAGCTAATAAAGAAAAAAAAAGAAACACCTTCCACTACCATTTCACGCAATTCTCTACGTAACTAGATAACTTGCAGTGTTCTATTTCTCCTTACGGTTCTACGAGCGGGCACGACACACCCCACTGTCCTCTTCTTATCTCTCATCATCCTAAAGTGTTCAGTCCGTAGCAGAAAGAACACAGACAGCCGACTGTCAATTAGATAACTTGCGCGAAAATCTCTCCATAATAGACTGAAGGAAATATTGTATACAATGATACAATACCTGCAAGCGCAGGGAGGACGAATTGCTTTGTATAAAAGAACCCTTCACTGGTGGAACAACTTGAACTAATGAAAATGCTTTTGCTATCAAGATTCGTTAGAAACATTGAGAAATGTAAAAAACTGAAAACAAATGCAAGCAATATTGACGTCTTACATTTGGATCGGATGACGTTACACGGTTGCCCTTCTTTCATGCACAAGGCAACAATGAAGTATCAAACTAGGCAAATTGACGGTACGCACAAAAAAATTCCAGATTCAAAAACAGCCAAAATCTGTTAAAATTCAATTGGTTCCACCCATGGAGGTTGCCTTTCAGAACAGCTAAAATACCTTTTTATCTACAACTTGTTGCCAAGGTGGTGGTTGAGCATCTACTGCCATATCTGGGTCCTGCATCAAAGAAACCACTGATCAGAAGATAAATCGTACCAGTTCTAATGCAATCATTAAATTTCTTCTCCAAGAATTTTAGTCTGATTTCTCTCTGAAAGTCATCTTACAATGACTGTTCATGCTCTCAACCGGCTAGTTCAAATTTCATCTATGTCGATGTAAAAATTCTCCATAAACAAGTCTGCTTTACGAAATTTTCCGGCAATAGAAGCTTTGGTCATTAAATTTCTGCTCAGAGAAGTTTAGTCTGATTTCTCTCGGAAAGTCATCTTACAATGACTGTTGATGCATGTTCGATCATCAAAGAATCCGACCCCTTTCCTGTCTAAAAATTAAAGAAATTACACTTAACTATCCGGTACAAAATTTCAAGTCTCCCCATAAAATTTCCTCATATAAATTTCAGAGGGAGAACTTAACTTTCTAAGAAAGGTTTGGGGAAGAACTGGTAAAGGTGGGGAAAAACTTGTTTTACGTTAGGGGCGAACTTTCACCATAAACCCCTCTTAAATATCTACGAAAAAAGAATGAGGAGTTAATAATATGGATCGTAACTTACCGGTTCTTCTTCTGCGGGCAGAAAAGAAGGAGACCGTGAGCGGGCACGTCTCCCTGAGAGCAAATAACACAGATTAGATGTGAAAGTACAAGTAAAGGGTGACGACAGGAATTATTTGTTTATCACTTCGTTTAAGTTTACCCAATGTTACCTACAAAATAGCAATTTTAAACAATAAATTTTTAACACGTATTTAAGGTAAAGATATCAAAATTATGCTAACTTAACAGTGTTCGACACGAATTTTTTCTTTCTAATTTGCCCTTTGGGCAACCAGGTTTGTTTTTGGTTGCCCTTGTATTTGTTTGGTTGTCCAAAGGAGGTTTGAAGTAGAATGGTAATTTTACTTTATAAATTTCCGCTGTTTGTTTTTGCGTTATATTGGCATTTTATGGGAAACAGTCAGTTCCAAAGCACAATACAAAGTATGTTTAAAATCCACAAAGTCAATTTAATCAGTGTTCGACACTAACGCTTGCGCGATTTTTACGAACGATTCAACTTGCAACAAGACGCACCTTTGCTGTGTTATTTACTTCTCTGCTAAATATATACGAGTACAAACCTCGAAACATTTCCAGAAGCGTAGAAGACACAAATGTCCGAACATTACGATCACCGCCATTTCGTTTTTTTGTGCCAAACCCGAACTGAAACAGACTCATTTTTGCCCAAAAATGTAGACAAGTTCGATATGAAGTAGATGAGCGTGTGTTATAAGAATGGATACTACACGTTTTCGTAAATAAATTACGTGTATATTATTAATTTTGGGGCAGAAGCAGTGCTAACGTCGTGCATCAATTCAGATAAAGTTTTGTAGTACAAAAAGTTCAGAGGATAAATCTTAGCATTAATAAACAGTGGAAAGGTACGTTCATTTTTGTTTGCAAAGTACATGAAACGTAATGCACGTTTTTGTAACATTAAGATAATAATTAGGTAAGACAGGCCTGGGCCCAGACAGATAATCCGTACTTTAATAACCGTGTAGGGCAGGAGTAGAGGCCATGTGACTTATTGTTGGGAATAGAACCCACGGCCGTCTTTTCTCGGGGATGAACGAAAAATACCGGACTAGAGAGAGCGGCGAAATCGAGCCTAAGGTGCATTTAGCTGTGCGGAAACTGGGTATTATTGTGACAAGCATTCCTTTCGCTTGGAGAAACAACATGGCGGCTACAACAAGTTAACAGGCAAATTAACACCATAAAGTACGGTTCTTCCTCTGAAGGATCCAACTCGCTCTTTTGGTCTCTTCCAGTATTTCAGATGAACACTTTTTAAAAAACTCACCTTGAAATTTACATGAAGTCACATTAAAAAGATCAGTGTGTTAAACAGTGCTGCTAAGAAATGCTGCAATCATATCAACATTTATTGTGTTTATAGTGCTGTAGATAAAACAAATGAATGTGCAGTGGCCTGAATGCAGTTGATGAGTGAGTGTGCTGCCCTAGGCGAGACATAAATTGAAAGTTTGTACCTCCTGATTAGTTAAGTGGGTAATAGCACACAGGTTATGACGTCCATCATGTAGATGGTATATTACAAATATCTAGCAGTAATTGTTAACTAGCTTTTGCCAACATTAGAAAAGTCAAATGGATTAATCAATAAAAATGATTTGTGAACCAAAAATTAGTCAACAACACCGCAGTACTTATTGTATTTTTTGACCAGTTAATTAAATACTTTTTTCATTTACTTTAGCTTAACATCCTGCACCAAAATTAATTTGTCACAAGCAGAATGAATCAAGCTCAGGGACAACCTTAAACTTAAAGAATCCTATCATCATTTAAAGGTCCAACACAAGGACAGGATTTAATATTGATTTTGCTCCTTAAAAAAGCATTTTGTAAAGCTTTGTTGCAAAACTGACAGACTCTGTCTGTAGACAAACATTTTCTGTTCACAAACCAACCCATGCATTTAATTGAAAATTAGTTAAATGCTTTCACGCATTATACATGAAAAGCCATAATTAGGTTTTTGTTTGAATAACTATATCAGCAGCTGCTTTTCATACAAAATTGATGATAAAATAATAAGCTTTGCATAGTAAAATTAACAGTGTTAAAGTAATTAAAAAACTATTATTATTATTATTATTATTATCATTATTATTATTATTATTATCATAATTATATTCAATGTCGTCATGTGAAAGTGAAGGCTTGGGATGAATGATTTTATAGAAATATTAATGAAAGTCACATGAATGAAAAGGAAAAATAACATTTAAAATATGTAATAACATTATAAGTTAAAAGTTTCATTCTAAGTCATACAGCCTTCACCCTTCCAGCAATATGTTATTTTTCTGTTCTCATGAAACCAAAAGCAATTTTTTTGCTGATTTATGGTTATTTTCATCCACCTAATCAGATTTGACCATCTGTAACAGACATACAGCTAGTATGAAAGCATCAAATATGCAAAAAAGAAAAGGATCAGAAATAACAAATTGCTGAAAAGGCATTTCACAAACCTATAGCAAATGCATGTAAATTTGCATTGCAAGTAAACACTCAACATAAACGAGGTGGCTAGTGAAAGGACAGTGTCATGACTTAAACAAGCACAAAAAGACCCCCAAATAAAGTTTAATTTTTTTTTCTTCCTTTATGGTATATCACAAGTGATCCTCTATATTGGGTTCAGCTATAACAGTAATCAAAGAAGATTGCTGTCTCTTCTATTTGACTTGCAATTACAATTTTGGATTCAATATTCAAAACGTTCAACTAACTTGCTGACTAGGCTCGAACTGCCTGCTGAGCAATGAATTGGTTGCCAGATGCAACCAAAGAAAGAATCAGGTCTTCCTGAACTTTCAAGTCCAGAATGGCTATGGTTGGTGCTCAGTTCACAACACTTTCCCTTTTTAAAATCCAAATATCTATAGCATAACACATACCATCTTCAGAGAGTACATCCATTGTGGGAGAATCCACACCTCTGAAAAATCAAACAGAAGCCAAATCAAAATAAAGTTCAAATCGTTCTGTACCTTTTCAAGATAGTACCAACAAATAAAAACAAAAAACAGAAGGAAACAAAAAAGGAGACCTGAAGCACTGGGTATAAAGCCTGCATCTCAATTATAGCACAACTGTTTTAGTTACTTTGAGAGTAATTTTAGTAATGGGAAGATTAAAGGACTGAAATCATCATTTTTTTTATCCTACTATGCACCCATTGGGAAAATCTGAGTATTCTGATTGGTTCTTACTTGGTCCATACATTGACATATGGATCATTTGAAAATGGTCATAAACCATGTATTTTTGATCACAAAAACTGGCAAATACAAAATGCCATTCAATAAACTACTAACTAATCTCAGTTACTTAAGCTGTACTAGGAAATATTAGGCCTCAGCCATTTTTATAGAGACATTGCTGCACTTGGTCTGTACTGCCACAACCTTGGGGCAATACTGGACAGCAGGGCCCTCATACTTGTTTAGTACCGGTAAGTAGTTAATATTTTCACTGTTGCTACAAAATGAGTGAGACTAGTATTTAAGTCTGAATTTACATTTGTAAACCACTTACACAGAATCCACAGGTCCTGCCACAGATTTTCTTAATCTCATATTCATTATCTTGTTACTCATTTCTCTCTAAGCATCAAAGAAATAATATGTTAGAAAAACCATATTTTCATGTGTTCAAGGGTAGCTTCAAACATTTGCTTGGTGGTAACTACAAGACCTGTACCTTACAAACCAGAACAGAACCCTAAAAATCAACAGAACATCACTTTTAAGCAGCAATTGACCACAATTCTTATCTGTTTACCACTGTAACAACCAACAGGGGATGTTGGGAGAATACGAGAAAATATTTTAAATCATGAGCCAGAGGGCAGTGATTTACAAACCTTCCAAGCAGCCATGGCCAAAATAAAGAGATTTTAAAAGAATTTCCACCAAACGATGAGGCCAAAAAGGTTCATACAAGTGAAACTACAATTATCAAACCAACAACATTCTGAAAGAGATCTATACTGAACAAATAACAGCTTGTGTAATTCTTTCACTTATCAAAATCATGTCGAGAGACTACATAACACTTTAATTTCTTTCAGTTAAATACTCACAGGTGTTTTCATACTCTCTGATCTTCCAACCTTTGGGAAGTATGGTTTATCAAGAAACAGCTCACTTGTACTGCAAAACAAAAGCAAAACAAAGTAACCATCAACATAGCAATAAAAAAAAATCAATAAAAACTTAAAATAATGCCAATTCATTATTTCAAAATATTTCCTCATTTATTTTGATAAAGCAAAATATTAAGAATCTTTAAAATGCTAACCTTTTTATCTTTGACATTCCCTCCTGAGAAACCAAATTAAAACACAATAATAATAATAATAATAATTTGTTGACTTCTAAGGCATAAATTCTATGTATATATATTCAAATGCATCATAACATAATCATTACAATACACTTAAGATAAAATAAAAATAATAATAATGATGATGATTTGAATACAAAATAACAATAAATGCCATTCATAATAAATAAGATATATAACATATAACTATTACTTGAAATATTCTATTTCAAACTTAATCAATGAATAAATAACTATAAAAACTATCAATTATAAAATGCTTTCTTAAAAAGAAACCTCTTAAGCTTCAATTTATAACTATTAACAGAAATAGATTCTCTTATATCCCTTGGTAAATTATTCCATAGCATAGGTGCCACAAACATAAATGCCCAGTCGCCAAGTGTTGCCCTAGACTTAAAACTAGGTTAACTGAGTAAGGTCTTGTTACTGGAATTCCTTAAACTTAACAATTGATTTATACGTCAGCATGCATTCATCAAGATATGAAGCACACAGGAAGTTTGGAGAGCACGAAAGATGCTAAAGAGTTGCTCGAGGCATAAGAGAGAGCAACTCTAGCTTCTTGAGTGCCCTCCAAAGTTCCCAAGTGCTTCATATCTTGATGAACACACAGCTGACGTATGAACCAATTGTTTTAAAACATTTGTAGTTAATGTATAAAGGGCAGAAATTCCCCCTCCTACGCTTCAATGTGTTGTTTATTTATTTTGTTTCGGAAAAGTATTTCCCCATGCTTATCTTGTCTCAGATTGGTCAAAAACTGACAGGTGAATTCATGCGTGGAAATGAATTTAGAGTTCCGAAATGAGATGAAATCCTTGATTGTTTTGTTTTCCCTTTCTCTGGCTTCTTTCTCAGGAGTTAAAAAATCCTTTCCCAAAGAAAAAGTAGGCAGATCTTTATCAGCTTGTTTGCTTGTTGCCATGTCTAGTTTAACTTTTTTGCGGAAGTTTTTCCCATTTTTTAATGAAAAATGCTGAAGTCACTTGCGAGAAAAAAATGTTTTCACAAGGCATTTGTTTGCTGATGTCACCAGCGTGCACAATGGGAAATTGAAGCACGTTCGCACTATTAAATTTGATTGCACGAATTTGCAAGCTATGTTATAATATATCTTGACTCGGGCTTGAGTGTAATTAAAGAACTTAAATAAGACGGTGCTAAACCCTTAAAATGCAGTCAATGACGTATCAACAGTAAAACTTCTGTCTCATACCAAACCAAAGTGAAGAGTATAAGTTTCTAAGAGTTAAACCACATAGTAAAAGATTTGTCTGAAACGATTTTAAAATCAAGAGGATGGAAATTTATACTAAAAAAGTTTTTTTTCAGGAAATATTTATTTTTTTAAAATGAGCATATAATTTATTAAAACTTTTGAGCATAAAGGTCCAGTTCAACCTGAGCTTGCACAACATACATGTACCCTAGCTGTAGGTAGAACCTGTGGTGAACTAACTCTCTCCCATCAAGCAGATGCAAATGCCACAAAAAAAACATGATATCCCTTACTACATTAAACAACAGTCAAAGGTCACAGCTCCTATCTGATGTATGTACATTTCTAAACAACCACCTCCCTAACTCCCAAATGAATTTTCCTTCAAAAGATGTTATACTGTTCACTACAAAAAAAAAAATTATGTTGTTTATTAAAATGCCCACAATGTTAATCGTGACTATGTTTGAAAGTATTACTTTGAAAACTCACCTCACTAGAACCAATGAATCCTTCCCTAAAAAAAAGTTGAAATAAGGAAAAATGTAAGTTGAAGTAATTTCATTCTACCTCAGTCTATAATTTTTTACAACACCACTTCAAGAAATAACAGTGATTATAGGGGAGAATTACTCTCATTTAGTCAACCATTTCACTTTCAAACTTGCCTAGAAACAAGCACAAAAAGGGGGAAAATAATGATACCCAATCAATAAAAAAGACACCAGTTCTCCACAGAAAAACCCTTCTACCTCTACCTCTTTAAACAAAAACTAAAAATGCCAAATCAAGAAGTGGAATCAATGAAACATACTTTCCACTATTTTATCACACAAGTCCTCAACAGAAAAAAACCTTCAAGCTAGGAATAACTTGCTGAATATCACCCCATCTTTAAACTTCTACCAAAAATTATCATCTGCTGACATTTTCCTGAAAATTACTTCACATCCTGCTGGAGCTTACATATACAACATTGTTTCTAAAAGTGATTTAAAGCTGAAAGTAAATCCTGCAGGACAAACTTGAAATTGCCCCATCTCATAAAAAGTTTCATTGAGCTCTTACCTGGACAGTTCATCTGCAGTCATTCTAAACCAAACAAACAAACCAATCAATAGAAAACCACAAAAGAATGAACCTGAACAAATGAGGCTTGATTCATGTACACTGGAGGACGTTACTACCTTCACAATGAACTATCACAAATATTACTACAATTGTGTTCTCACCCTCTGTCTCTGCCACCAGTGATCTGGAAAAAAGGATTTAATCAGTATGAACAGTAACTGGGTCACAGAGCAAGATAATAAAGGGAGAGAGTGGACAATAAATTACAACATTAGGCCAATCATCCTCATTAGTGATTCAATAACATACTTTCAGCAGAGAATTTTTGTTCCTGTCATGTGACTGGTATCCCCAGAAAAGTAAACACAAATCAAGTCTTCTCCACACCTTCACCCTCATGAGCTTTCTTAAAGGGACTGGTAACAAAAAAAGAGATTCTCTCCACAGAATAAGGATTGGTAACAAAAAAAAGAGATTCTCTCCACAGAATAAAGGTTTCGTTGCCTACTGTGGAGGACAGTGGCCAGTGTCTAAGTCTGTTCTGGGACTGCTTGACAACTGATTGGAAATGAAGGTAGATAATTAAGGGTTCAGTGTACCTTCGATCGAGTGAGTACTGATACTTACCGGATCTTCATCAAATGAACCACTCTTTTTCTTGTTGTACTCTACAAAATAAACGCATCAAACATAAGTCTGGATAGGCTTTCTAACAGCCACCTATTTACAGCAGCAAAAGGGTAAGAACTTGAAGAAACCCGCCATCAAACCTGACTTAAAACTGTTTCAGGAATGGAGAGGCTTAGTGAAAATGTCACAGGTGAGGAAGGCTACAAGTTTTTTTTTGTTGTTGATTCTTTTGTTTTTTTTGTATAGTTACTAATTTTAGTTTCAAAAACAACACTGCTCTAATCACCATGACAAAGTCCTATTTTAATTTACACACAGTTAATTTTCCTTGCAATGAACATAGGGAGGTAATAATGTCTGCAACTTCCTAGATAGCCAATTACTTTCATTGATACATGTACATACCTGGGTGTCCAGGGTCAGATTCATTCTCATCATCATTTTCTGGGTTCCAATTCTTCCCCCCATCTATGAAAGCAACCAAAAACAAAATAACAACAAACATTACAATGCTCAAATACAGCCATGATATAATTAGAGTGTGTTTTGAAGCTGTCTATGGGAAGAAATTGCAATCTGTGGATAGCTTTGCAAATATATTTTCTTGGGATTTATCTGCTTGACAGCATTCATTCTCCTTGTGGGTTCAGACCCTGAGCCCTCAAATTTCATCATAAAATGCCTCCATTTTCTCCATAAATAGTCCCTCTCTCCTCTTAGTAAATAATTGACCAGTCTGTAATATAGAACAAATATTGTAGAGAAGTGAAGCTTGTGGCAGTTTTAGTTTAAGCATTAACTTGGTTCTGCTTTGTCAAGAAAACTTTAAGTCACCATCTAAATGCAATCTAGCAATTTCTCCAATAACTGTAAAATATCTCACAAAATGTTACAGTTTGTTTTTGATTTATGAGTTCTTAAAAAACATTTTACTTACAAGGAGATGGGCCCAGTGTTTGACTAGTTTTCCTGATATTAGTCACAAATGATGGTGACCTGCCAGCTTGAGCAGTAGGTTTCTAAAACAAATAACACACAATAAATCACTGCTCATTAGAGCAAAATGCTGCAAAACTCATATTTCTTATAAAAATCTTTTCAAAGCAGTCTTTGTTGGATATTGATAGCCTTTGCTAGAACTGAAACAAGCATTTAAACAAACTTCCTAAAATGAAAATCACTGTTTAATACAAAACTGCATTCACCACTGGCATCTTATTTCTGCTCATCATGATAATTATGGTAGGCATAAGTTAATCAGATCCTGGCTGAAAAAGTAAGGGTTATCCATCTTGTAGATGGTGATATGCAACACACCTACAGAATTTCATTTTGAACAGTTTTACTGCAGTGGTTAAATTCTTGACTTACACAGCCAAGAATACTCCTGTGGACAATACATTAGGTTGAACATCTTGTTTACTCCACTCACCCTTTCCCTTTTTTTCTTTGTTCCTGGACATTCCTCAATTGCCTCAAAACAGTTCCCTTTATGTACATTGTATTCACAAGCTAACAGTTGATAAAAGACAAAGGCACCATTCCATAAAGAGTGATAAAAACTGTATTCAGAGGGTATGTTGAGGATCATTTTTTGAAAGAAATATGTTCTGAGTTTTCATTCAATTGAAAGGATAACTTGATGAGAATTTCTTAATATGTTTACAGAGTTTTCAATAGAAGTTGCTAGTCCATAGTTTTTACTTTTGCCAAGAAAGTTCCCAGGCCACCTGAATATATAACAGGGGCCTTGGGGGGACGTAAGTGCTAACAGTTAATCTCAGTTCATAACCAGCTTAAAAAAAATAATCAGGATTTTCCCCTCTTCCACTCAGGCATTGGAATTTCCATGGCTAATGGGATTTGATCTGTTTTCTTGCTGAGAAATTTGAAAAACTGGAGAACCATGGTTACTTTGCTCAACTTGCACTTTGAATTACACAGCATGCAATGAACAGGTGAATCTTTGTTGTTTTTTATCATCCTAAGTATAGGATTACATAGCCATGCATGCAGTCTATGTTCTTAAACTGTAACAGTTTCAATCATTGAACATACTTGAACACTGGTATCCTTGGTCTCCAGCCCCCCAAAGCAGGTTACCACAGTGATTGCAGTAAGTTGGAGTTGTATACTGTGTACTAACAAAGTGATGTCCTTTCATCTACCAAAATACAAAGTCAGTTATCAATCAAAGAACTCCCTGGAAAGTCCTGACTGGACTGTTTTTCTTAGAAAAGCTTCCTTTCAGATCTCCAATTTCAACATTTCCCTTATTTGACAACACTAGATCACCTTATTCACAAAGCTGATAACAAAGTAATAAATGACCACAATACATTAAGTAGAAACCCTAAATGTCTGTTTGAAAAATAATGCTTCTCAAGCCCCAGTAGTCAAACTGTGGACAAATACTATGGATTAACCACAGTGAAAACCACGAAAACTTACATGTAAAATTATGAAAACCGTGTACATGCAGTGATAGAGCAAGTCAGGGAAGCTAATTTGAAATCTACCCAGTAAAAATGATGAAAGATAAGAACCTAGTGGCAGAGGTACCTTTCTACAAAAGAAAACTGGCATAAAGTCTGAGACAATCATAGTTGTGCAAGCAGTACCTGCGAGTACTGCTTGCAGGATGCACATACTTCCTTTTAATTTCGGATTTTTTTTTTAGTTCAGACGTGTGTTTCAATCTCAACAAATAAATTAGAACAATAAGAACTGAACAGTAAAAGCAGTATGTTTGGTCTATAATGCATTAAGAATACAGTCATTATCTTCCTTTGGGCACAGAAGAGTATATGATCAAAAACTTCAAGAGACCAAACCCTTCTGTTTTCTGAAAACCATGTGATCAATTGCCCTCTACCACTAGTTGTTCAAAATAACATTTTCACAACAAAAAGATCAAACTAGTCACATTCTAAAGAGGATGAAGACAATGAGTTTAGAGAGCTTAACTTATAAAATTGGCGGACACTGTTTGTTTAACTTCCACACAATACTAAATTATAAATACTAAAGAAAGCCTCAAACCACCAAACAATTCTAACCTTTTTATTTGACTTCATTTTAAATAATGGTTTGTTCTCTTTTCGAGTAAAGCTTTGATATCGTTCCAAAATGTTTGCATTGTTTCCTTGTTGCTGCAAAACAAACCAAAATTTAAAATGCACCCCATGAAAGTTAAAACAACTTCTAATAACACCTGCTACACAAAGCCAGACAAAGGAAGCCTGTAATGAAGTTAAACTAAAACAAGACTTAATAAAATGCAAGAAAGTCAGATTTCATGATCTAAGGGAAAGGTGATTTATCAAAGGCATTGCCCTAATAAGAAATTAAGCAAGTCGTGCTGCTTGCCTACCAAGATATTTACTTGCATTGGATGTCTTAATAAGGGTTGAGGTGTCCTCAGTTTTGAGGGCCATTAATCATATACAGGGAAAATAAATGGTGATTATTATTGTTATTTAAACAACAATATCCATTTGTAACACAAACCTCAATGTAGGTTACTACACATTACTTACTGCACTAACCTTCATGGTGATTCCAACCTGTCTCAGAAAGGTGGTAAGGGCTGACACCATTGCATTACTATAATTCAAACGAAGATGAAGATAAGCAATTCATAGTTTTCTATGAATTAACCTGGGTATCATTAACAATTGTTCTAAACTAATACACAGCCAACTCAATGGGTAGCATGTTCCTTTATTATTTCCATAACGGCACAATAACCAATTCTGAAATCTTATTAGTTCTTGACAAAAAATGTGGTTTCCCAGGTTCACGTTATGGGTCAGTGCTGGCATTCCTCTGTTTCCTAAAAACACTTGAAACAATACCACTGCATCTGTAAAGAGTTAACTTACTTCCTGTTGACTTGTGAAGCATCTGTACCAGTGTTCATCTCCAATTCAGCCCTTAAAAATAATCATAGCATTTCTAGGTGGGAACTGAACAACACTTGACAAAATCTGGATGGGTTACATGTAATTTAAGTTCCACTGTACTTATTGTTAGCTTAGTAACACACATCACAGATTTGTGGGTGTACTGTTCATTTTAAACAACAGGTGTCCCAAAATGCCCATACAGAATGTCTTTAACATTCTGTATGGGAAACAAATAAAACAGTGATTGAACTTACAAGATCTCCTCCAAATGAGGCATCAGAGTTTGCTCTACTACTAGCAGTTCCTTTCCTTTATCCATGTTGTCATCTGCAGTATTGGTAATAAAACCTTTCATTATACACAACATGATTTGAATGAAACAATTCTTGTATGCTTGCATCTTTTCTGACCTATGCAAAGAAATATATAACAAAACTTGACTTTGTTATGGAGTGTTACCTTCCAGGTTGTGGTCCCCAAACAGACTTCCAAGGCCAAGAGCTCGTTTATTCCTAAAGTCTTGTAACAATTCTTTTATTTCTGCTTCTGCAAAAGTTCTGTTGAACAAAACATACAAGTTTGGGAACATATGAATAGTGTTGCCTTCTTTAAAGTTATTCTGCTCTAAAGGCTAAAAGCACTGCCAGCTATTAATGCTGGTTTTGAAGTGAAAGTTACCTTGCATGTTGAAACAAATCTTTGGTAATCTCTTCTGACTTCAGACAACTCACTGAAACACATAACAGAAAAACAATTTTGATATGTACCAGTTATTGTACAAGAAAATATACATTGCCTATCAATACGACAATTGCTGTTTATGTTACCATAATTTCCGGCCATTTACCTGCAAGGCCGATTACCCACACCAGCCGATTATTGCATGCAGCAAAAAAAAAAGTCAACAGATTACCCACACTAGTGGATAACCCACACCTTAAAAGTAAAGGAAATTTGTACAAATTGCTCTGCAAATTCATGGCCACATTTTGTGAGAACGATCGTTTGGCGCCATGTTGATTTGTTGATTTCTCAAAAAAATTGTTATCTCCAGTTCTATTGGGCCTAACAAGTCCCTTAAAATGGGATAATACTTTTCAGCGGAGGCTAGTGTTAACAGGAAATTTGTTAATGATGCACCGGTTATCCTTGGTTAATTTTTGTCATCATCAAGGTTTTGTTTACACGCGTACTGATAGTAATTTGTTCGTCGCGCAACTAATGTGTGTGAAATAAACTCATATAATTTGGATATATCAACAAAGTTGAAATGGTAAATTGGCCACCGTAACGATTACAAAAGCTGACGTTTCGAGCATTAGCCCTTGGTCGAAGCGAATAGAGGAATTGTGGGTTGTGCGTGCTTTTAAAGGTGGAAAATGGAGCTACATTATTGGTGGGAACATGGCAACAAGAAAAACAAGAATAAATTAGTGGAATGAAAAGCATTTGTTGATCCCTGTGGGATTAAGGCTGCCGGTTTGAAAGATGAGCTTTTGTTCAAGATTTTTATGGCTTTCTGTGCTACCTAAGTGTAAGGAAAGACCGCAGATTGCCATATGTTGCTTAGAATGATTAGGTAAATTAAAATGCCTAGCAACTGGTTTCGACGTGGAAAGGAATGACAAGGACACATCAAAACCAGTTGCTAGGCATTTTAATTTACCTAATCATTCTAAGCAACATACCGCAATCTGCGGTCTTTCCTTACACTTAGGTAGCACGGAAAGCCATAAAAATCTTGAACAAAAGATCATCTTTCAAACTGGCAAACTAAATCCAGCAGGGATCAACAAACGCTTTTCATTCCATTAATTTATTCTTGTTTTTCTCGTTGCCATGTTCCCACCAATAACGTAGCTCCATTTTCCACCTTTAAAAGCACGCACAACCCACAATTCCTCTATTCGCTCCGATGAAGGGCTAATGCTTGAAACGTCAGCTTTTGTAATCGTTACAGTGGCCAATTTACCATTTCAACTTTGTTGATATATCCAAATTATTTCGTTACCCCCACCGACGCAGCCCCAAACAGTTTCTTTCGAAACTATCAGCCTTTATTCATTTGAAATAAACTCAAGTCCGTATCATGTATTCGTGCCACTTTGTGGCACTTTTAATACAATAAAATTCATCTGAGAGGTGGAAACGCAGGTAGGTGAGAATTTTTTTCAATTCAGCTGCCAGTAGATTTCAAAATTGTCACATAACCTGCACCTCCCTATTACCCACAGTGGCACGTGTTTAAGGCAAAATCAACAGATTACCCGTGGGTAAACGGCCGGAAATTATGGTAGTAGAGAAAAATAACATAACAGTGCACAATCAGAAAAAAGGGAAGGATTACCCTTACCAACTGGTTCAATGACTGTCTCCTTATCCATGTTGTCAACCTTCAGAGGCTGAAATAAAGCAATAAATTCAAATTTGAATATAGTGTCCTCATTGGACCTAACAATAGTGATAGCAACGATATGTCTGGTTATGATATAGAATTCAAAGAGGGAGGTCAAACTCTACATACTGCTCGCTCATCCAGGAAAGTGGAATAAATCTCATAGGCCCATTTCTTCATTTCTTTTAGAGTTCCTTCTCTGTAGGTATCTGTCACCATCCAAAAGAACTAAACAAGAACAAAATTCTCAGTTAATAATAACATCTACATTTGAACTTGTGACCCACTGCCAAATGGAAGACCTGTTGATACACAATTGAGGTCACAGTAAGCTGCTTATGTCAGCAATTTAAGTTCAGCTGTGAAAACTGAATATAAATAATTTTATTATACATTGTAGTCACCATCTGTCTTCTCATTGGCTAAATGCCCACGGTTAATTTTGGGAAACAGTGCAACCTACAGATTATTGACTACTCTGTACCAACAGCTTAGTGAATAATCTGTAGGTTGCACACACAATGCATGATTTCCAGTGGGGCAATGTCAAGTTCATGGACAGCAAAGTAAGAATGGATGGATTCTCAATTTGCTTCATCAACCCAGCGAGAAATTGAGAAATTACTTGAAGATAAAGATTCGGAAAATACTAAAAGAATGTATAATAAAACAATTATTGGATGAGGTTTTTGTGATATCTGGAATAATCAAGGTCTCAGTTAGTGTTATCAGCCTCAGCCTTCGGCTTTGGCTGATAACACTTACCTCGACCTTGATTATTCCCGATATCACAAAAGCCTCATCCAATAATTGTTTAATAACGAGTGCATGATACCTACATGTGTGCCAACAAGATGACAATAATACACAAGATAAAAAAGGCTGGTCTCTTTTGAGACATGTTTAACCATTGCTAAGCTCAACATTAAAGAAGAGATTATTGACCACCAAGAAGCACATGCATACCCTGTAAATGAGCCTTAAAATTTCTGCACTCACCAGACCACTTGGATCACTGTTTGAGATAAGGTAGTGAAGGAAAACTGCCATATGAGCTGGAATTAAAAAGGCAAAATCACGTTTAGTATGACCCCAATCATACTTGTCAAATCATATCAAAAAAGTCTCATTACTGAAGTATTTTAAAACAACCAATTAGATTTTGCAACTTCCTTCAGAAAGGGGTCATGTTCATAAGAACACCACTTCCACTTTACCCTATTCCCTCTTTGCCTCCCCTGCACATGACGAAATATATATGATAACCCTACCCCACAAAAAAAAGAGAAAAATTTCCATTGAGCAGTAGAGTGAGTGAGAGACCTCAAGCCTCTTAACCTTTATTTAAAGCAAAAACTTATCATGGTTTGTCAGCACTAAATAGTAAGGAGTACTGCTACTCCTCCAGAGTAGACCTTCCTTGTCTAGAAGTGGTCTTTGTAACCCCCAATTTCTTTGATTATGTTACTGTTTATCAGTGTTTTATACCTGGTTTATTTTTAAGCACTTCTAGATCATTAAATGGCCCATGGTCATCTATCTGTTAATAAAAAAAAAATGGTTTCCAGAATCTTTAGTAATTAGTCAGGACTGCTAAACAGCACTTAACAACTGTTTCATTTTGACTGCCCGAGAAAAAGACATTAAGTAGGCAAATTCAAAGCAAGAAAATTGGACCACACCAGATGCACGAAGTTTATACATCTTACCTTCTCGTCATCTGAAGCAAACTCTTCGTCCTCCATTGACATGATTGGATCATTCTGTGGGTCAATACTTTTGCTGCTTTCAGTGGTGTTATATGATGATTCTTCATCTCCATCAACATATATATCACCAGCATCATTGGGTATTTTTTTCTCTAATGATTCTGTGAATGTCGGTGTTGGTGGTGGTGAGTTGCTGCTGCTGCTACTGCTTTTACTGCTGACATTGTCTACTAGTATTCCTTTGCTATCATGCCCTACTGGCTTCCATGCTTTTGGAAGGGATGCAGTCTACACAGAATGAGTGAGAGACAACATTCAAGTTAAATGAGTGTGTGTTTTTTCAAGGGATTTTTCAGAGATGACTCTACTTTGCCTTGATGTTTCTCAACTCTGCTAATTGTTACCTTGAACAGTAAAAGTTGTAGTTTAGAGTCATACTCACCATGATGACAACCCCTAGAGTCACAAAACTTTAGTAGGGCACTTTTTTAGAGAGAAATAATATTCAAATAATGACTGTTTCTCACTCAAACACCTTGCGAGGTCACTCCTATTTCTGCTTCACCCACTGACAAAATGATGAAAAATTTTTGCATTCTTCACATTCTTTGAAAGGATATACATTTTCACTCAACCAATGCCAAAACAGTTCACACACTGCCCAAGTCATACGAGCAGCTCCTTAAATTGATTTAAAGTGCTACTGCGACGAAATGTTTGCATTTTATTTTCCCAATTTTCTTGTGTTAACTTCACATTTAGACCCTAAACTATAAGAATTAGCGTAAGTTTCTCAAATTTGACAACGTTATGCCTTAAAAATAGGGCCGTGAAGACATTAAAAATTCTCCTGCCATTGCTCAAATAACACACTGGAGAGCCCACAAAAATAACTACTAACAGCGGTTTTAGTTGTGATGTCATTGACTCACTTCGACAACGTCGCAAAAGCATGCCTTTACAAGAAATATGCAAAAGAAAGCTGGGGAACAATTCTTTCGAATTTTATTCCTTCTTTCCTGCAGAACCAGAGAAACAACTCTCTCTCGGCATACCAAATTAGCCACATTTGTTGAGTCATTGACATTGCTTCCGTTCTCGACCCAGTTTCTTCTTCTTCGCGTGGAGTTCTGTAGTTTGAAGAATGGCGGCCGTTTAGATCACGAATCTACAGGGAAAATAATATTACTTCTCGATGGAGTTTTGCCTTAAGATTTGGCAAATTTGTTACTTAGGGTAAGTACTTTCAACCTCTGAGGAGAAAAGAAAAGGTGCATTTTTGGTCGCAGTAGCACTTTAACTGACATACAAGTCACTTCAACATTAACAAACATCTTGAGTGAACAGAATTCCCTTCAGATGCCAGGAGACCTTAGAGTGTACATTTTCCCAAGTAAGATCCCATTTGAAAAAAAATAACCTTAATTCACCAAAGTGTATAGTCAACAAAAAAGTCTGGGCAACTACAAAAAAAAATTCCCTTTACCAGAGGATTTTTGTGTGCCTTGGTGGCTGGATAACCAGGCTTCCATGACAGTCCAGATCCATCATCAAAACTCTTTTTCTTGCTATTACTTCTTACAGGTAAAGATTTGTCAGAGGAGCTTCCATTTATAGTGGGACAAAAGAAAGATTCTGGACTGGAGTGTTGTCTCACATGAGTTGGACCCTCAGGAAGCTGTATAAACATAGGAGAGTTTATAAGCAAAGCAAAGTAGACTGTACATAGACAAGTGTGAGACATGCTGCTGTTAATTTTAAGAATGGCTTAGTAATTAGCAAGGGTTAAAAAATACTTACTGAAAGCTTCTTATGCCTTTTTTTTCCAGGATAAGTACCTGAACCTATACCACTAAGAGGCTACAGATTAATGTAACAGTATTGTTAGAAGGTCATGTTAACAAGTTAGTTCTAGGAAGACATAGTCATTATCATGCATATCAAGATAACTAACCATCACTATCATTACCAACCCTGTCATATTGTCATTTACCGTCACTGTCATTACAATTCTCTCAGAACTCCTATTAAAAATGTTCAATGATTCAATCAGGAAAATTAAAGAAAATTTCATCCCAGTTTAAGCCCTTGATAACCAGATTCTTCTCAATGGAAGACAAAGGGTCCTTCCTCACACCCACACCAATCATGCCAATTATTCCCAACACCAAACTATTCTTGAGTCTGCTACAGTATTTGTACTTATAATTTCAATATATCAACAAAGTTGAAATGGTAAATTGGCCACCGTTACGATTATAAAAGCTGACGTTTCGAGCGTTAGCCCTTCGTCGGTATTTGTACTTATAATGTAATATTGAATATTCAACTTAACATACTAAACATGCTACTGGGACAAATCCTGTCTGTATCATTGTGGTACATCAAGCTAATGTGCCTCTTTCTATTCTTCCCTATTTAATATGCGAGATGAAACATGCCCTATAAACAAACTTAGTGGCATGTTACCACCTTCACTAATTGTCTGAGAAGGGGCATGTAAATAACAATAACTTAAAGTAATAAACCATCTCAAAAAGGTTAAAGTTAACATACCATAAGTTGATCTCCTTTCTGAGGGATCTTTCTCATAGGAGGCTGGGATGGAGAAGAAGGAACCTCTCTACTGTCACTGATGCCAGGAGAAATGACAGCTGGTGGATAGTTGTCATACAGTGCATTTGGATCATGATCTTGTGGAGGACTGGTGTTGCCCACAGCTGATAATGAATTACACCTGGCTGGAAATCGGTTTACTTGCTGCCATGTTGGAGAGACAGTTTTACCAGGAGGAGCTGAAAAGGGTCCATTATTACTTGAAACTGGCAAACGCTACAGAAAACAACATGAACATTCTCACACAAAATACTGCATTTTAGTAAACTTTCGGTATGATAACTGAATACTTATTTGCAAAGTGGGAGAGCCAAACAAGTAATACTTGGCTTTTAGTGATAATGTCCTTGCATCATGCCTGAAAACCAAACATTTTTCTGTCCTACCCAACCAAACTCAGTCAATGAGCACTTTATAAAATGCCAGTCTCCTTTCCATAATTCTTCTTTTTATCCTTTAGTTCACATCATGCAAGGCCTCTAAGCTTTTTCTGGCTCTGTTCACTCCATTGTGAACATGCGATCAAATGGGTTGTGAGATGCAAATAATTACAAACTACCACTGTGGCACAGAAACTTAATCTTGGTAAATGGACAAGGATTAAAACAAATCCAAGGCTAACAGAAGGAAGTAACCAATGGCATGTGACAAAAAAAACCAAACAATGTTAGGGACAGTTTACACAATAAGCATTGTTCCTCACTTATATGTGACCTTCTTTGGGAAAACGTACACTAACGATATTCCGTTAAACGTTAGAAAACTAACAGACAGCTAACGGATAGCTAACGGCTTTTCAGACGTTCTAATGGTTTGTCCTAACGCTCAAACGGTTTGTCCTAACGCTCAAACGATTTGCCCCAACACTCTAACGGTTTGTCCTAATGCTCAAACGATTTGTCCTAACGCTCTACCGGTTTCTCCTAACGCTCTAATGGTTATTCCAAACATTCTAACGCTTTGTCCCTACGTCTTAATGGTTTGTCCTGATGCACTTACAGTTGGTCCGCCTGTTTCACTTTGCTCCTTATGGTTCACCCAAATGGTGCAAGTGGTCGATCGAAAAAAGTACAGAGCAAGGAAGTGTAAAACGATGTTGCAAAGTCTTTTTGAAAACAGCTAACTGGCTGAAGGCTTTTAACACCAAAAGAGTCCGCTTTGATGATTGTGAAAATCACCAATGATCAGGTGAATCGAGTCTTCTTCAGACGGGCAAATCGACGTTGGGCAAAACAACTGCAATGGACGTCCGCGCTGGTCTTCTTTTTGCAGTCCTTCTTCCTTTTCCTTAGAGCACTGTATAATTCTAGAGACTGTACTTTTTGCAACAACAATGATTTCTGTGCTGAGAATTCTGAAAATTTCAGTACGTGATCTGCCAGCATTTGCCAAACAGAGTATCAGGCGACTGCGAACATATTCACCATACAAGTTTCTACTTCATTAAATCGGGGTATAATTTTATGTTATATTACGTTTGGGATCCTCAATTGCGTTCATTATAACAAGAATTTGGTTATATATCGAGTTTCTTTTAATCGAAGTTCTATTCCATACAATTTACTGAAACTTTCGCCTGGCTGAAGAATATTGTTCGGTATACCGACGAGTTTTAAATCAAGAATTTTGAAAGCTCGGCATTTTTTTATATTGGAATTTATCCGTTACCAGGGTAACAACCCTGCGGCAGCCTGGAGCCAAAAATGAAAACACGGCGAATGGAGCGTGGATAATTTTTTAATCTCTTCCACGAAAATAAAATAATGGTGTTTAACTTCGACAGATCTGAAGGCCATGAGCACACCAGATATCAAGAATTTTCATCAACATGGCTCGGCAAGGTATTAATGTTCCCTAGCTGAATCCTGCATTGAACTTTTTAGTCAGTTCATGCGACATTCTGTATAACACGAGGGTAAGAGAGGAAAAAATCGTTTATACATCAGCTTACCCTATATACATACGACTCATGCTCCAACAGGTAAAGATCAGGATACTAACAGATTTAATAATGTCACTCACAGATACAACTAACAGACTGCAAAACTCCTCTAACGGATAGAGCTAACATTCTAGCGGATACAACTAATGTTCTAACGAATTCAACTAACGCTCTAACGAATTCAACTAACGCTCTAACAGATTCCACTAACAGTCTAATGAATTCAACTTACGCTCTAACGAATTCAACTAACACTCTAATGGTTACGGATTAGATGCTAATGAATTAACTAATGCCTCTAACGGTTTTCGTTTACTTATCTAACGGATGACTAACGGATAGCTAATGGTCTAGACCGTCTAACGGACTATCGATAGTGTACGTTTTCTCAAAGAAGGTCACATATACTGGTACACTGTACAATAACAAGTCTTCATCCCAAACTTAACACATAATACTTAAGTTAAAATATTTAATTGAAGTCATTATTTTCAAAAATTCTTGATGTGTAAATTGTCTCATGCAAGGTACCACTGCAAAACTAAAATTTTTACCATTTTTAACCATCTTGCTACTTTTTAGCATTTTAGTATGTGACATAAGATAAGTAACATTTACCTTGTGAAGAAATAAATACTATGACTACTACCATATTTATCCATGTATAAGTCGACCCTTTAAGACTGAAAAATCAGCCCAAAAAATCACCCTCGACTGATACACGGATCATAGACAAAGACCTGACCCAATCAATCCAAGAAATTAGCATAACAATTGCCCACAGTCCATTAGGAAAACTGAGTTCACAAAACCAGTTCTAATTGTGTTCAAGTTTCGTCAGTTTTCAGCCCGTTCTACATCAATGAAAAAGTTTGAAATAATAAATTTTACATGGGTTAAACAGAAACCTAGTAGGGCTGATTTCTATTGAATCTTCTAATCTACAGAGCAGACATTTTCTTTACAGCTTCGCTGCTGTTTTCGGTGCTGAATTCTTGTTTTCATCGAATGATTACAGTAGCTTAGTGACCTAGCAAATGCTGTTTTTTCACAGTCTTGTTTGTTACACATGTGGACCAATTATGTTATTGTCTAGTTTCCAAGATGGCAGTGTTTTCATTAAGTGGATCCTTCGAGGCTCTTTGGTGTTCCTTCAGTCTACTAAATCTCCTTTCAAAAGGTTATTTAAATGCATGAAGATTTCATTTTCAAAGCGATTTACAAAATATGGTAAATTACTTCTCTAGAAAATCGAAGTGCTTGTCTTTGCTTAAATCATGAATCATGGTGATGTAAACAACTGCTACTAAACCTCACAGCACACAGTTACATTTTGCTCTACAGTTTTTTTTTTTTAATTCACCATGATTTCAATACATTCTCAGAAATAAGAGATCAGCCATTTGGGAAATTTCTACCGGTCTGAATTTTTCTTTACTAGACATGATGAAAAATCCGATTTTTGACCTTGAAAATGGGGGGTCAACTTATACACTGATAAATATGGTAATAAAATTGTACACACTCCCTGGGTTTCCACTTCTTGCTAGTGTTTTTTATTTTTTCTGAATACCCTCCACAGTTATGCCACCATTTCACTCTTTTAAAGTAAAAAGAATCAATTATGAAAAAAAGAAAAACCTGTGCATTGAGCTCTGCTTCAAATGCTTTGATTCGTGTTGTTGATTCTGCAAGCTAAAAAAAGAGAATAATGAACATTTGGTAAGAGGCTGGAAAAATCAATCAATAAAAAAGATCATTACATTACTTCTAATTGGAAGTGAAAGACCCACTACCATCATTTCAAAGGTAGCTCTTTCAAATATTACATACCTCTCTTTGAAGGTTTTCTGTTGGTCTTCTTTTATACTCCTCCAATGTTTTCTTTAAAGGAAACATTGATAAAAAGTCAGGTAATGAGAAGCAACTTTGCACGTGTAAGAAATTGAAAACAGCATGAAGTATATGAGTATGGTTCAAGAAATTTCATAGTTACGCCATAATACTGCCTCTCTTGATCAAGCACTCTCTGAAGAGTCACTGTTCTCTCATCCATTACTGGGTCTCTGGGTACCTGCTTCTTGCATAAAAAAATCCCAAATTACTGCAATTACATACAATGTAACATGCCACTAAGGTGTAGCATTGTCCCTTTGAAACTTGATTCTTGATACTCAATTTTTTAAATCTTTAAAGATCCTGATTCACGTCAAATTTTAAGACATTCAAGGACAATCAAGCAACTATTAAGGGTCTTTTGAGAAACAAGGAATTTTCATGCAATTTCTTTACAATGGTGGGAAAAAGGTTCAGTAAGTTCATATTTTCTTTAATGCTGAACATCAGTGTTTAGTAACACTGAGTACAAGTCTTGTTCAGCACCAGCAGTTTGCATCAGGGTTTGTCAAGTCACATCTGAGTTCTTCCCTGATTTGTTAACCAGTGCACCCATTTTGCTGTGATAGTCAGTTTTGTCCAAAGCAACATTGTCAGCCAGTTGTGAAATAACCTTCTTGATATTCTTCAGACATCTCAGCATTTCCACAGCTTGACTTACAATAAATATTTAGCACTGAGACCAATGAAAAACAACACAAATTTTCCCTTCATGCCTAATCATCCTTTTTTAATCCTTATGGTGATAGAACACATATAATACATGTAAACTTACTGGTAACTGTGGTGGTCTCTCAAGCTGTCTGTCAACTGGAAAACAAAAAATGATAGAAAATCTTTATAAGTAATACCCAAATAATATGGGTGTATTTTTCAGGACTGAAAAAGTACCTGAAAGTACCAGAGAGGTACCAGAAGAGTGACACTTGCCACTTTAGTGATTCACACAGGAAGAAAGTCTTGCCTCATCACCAACTCGAGAAGGCTGCTATTTAATTTTAAGGAGTAAACATTACTGTACCTTGAGCATGTGAGGGTGGTTTTCCTAAAAGGGTCAGTGCCACATAGGAACCAGCTGAAGTGAAACAAAACATCTTTACTGTTCAGCTCTATAAAGTAGATGGATTTTTCCAGTGTCACAGGGCCTACTAATCTTTTGGGATCAATCCAAAGCTTGCCTTGCCCCCCCTACCCCCCCTCTCAATTGGTCCAGAGGTGTGCTTCCCAGAAAATGTTAACATTCCCCAATAACAACGATGCATTTTGTTGCATTTTGGAGAAAAAACTACCATGCTTCAGTTGCAAAAAGAGCTCCCATTCCTTTTGACAACGGAATCATAATTTGATGCCTTTATAGACAGATAAATTAGTTTCCAAATGTAAATACATGATCTTTTATTTTTTAAATCACTTCATTTTGCTAGTTGAAATACATTTCATCTTTAGAAAGATGCATGAGGAAAATACAGAATAGTGCCTTATTCTAAGTTGAGATTAGAAAGCAGCTGGACAAAGTAGTCTTTGCAACCCCTCAATTTCCCAGCACCCAGCCCTTTATAAACCCTCTTGCATGCCTGGGTCAATCAATACTCCTAATCGAAAACTAAAAAGCGAATGACAACAATTTAAGTCTAGACTTCATACTCAAAGTAGTAGGCAAGAAAGATTCAGTAGGACAATAAATTTAAATAGCAAAAAGTCTAAACTGGCACAATGCATGTCAAATAGCACTTACATTTAATCAAGTTGACAACCTCAATGTGATTGAACTCTCTGACATCAGTTCCATTCACCTTGTGGATAGAAAATAAATAAATTCCAGTTAGCTGTACAACAGCTGTCACATGAACTCTGCTTACATTCAAACATCCAACTCAAGATGTAAACTACCCATTTTGTAGTTTGCTCAGTGCACAAATAAAACATCTTTCTATGCATAAAACATTTCTACTTGTACAGGTAAAGGCAGATGCTGCACCTTGCTTTGTCTCAAAGGGTGCATGGTAACCTTGACAAAGCTCTACTTTTATAATAATTACAAGGTGCCTGAAGGCTCTTCCTATAATTTTATGTTTTCATGAAAAGGAGGTTAAACAATTGGGCCACGTTGTTCAAAAGTAGGTTAAGATAACCCAGAGTAAGTGTGAAATTTGATTTCAGATCTGAAAGCTTTAAAAGACAATTCAGTTTAATTACATTTGTCTACAATTTGATGATTGAATGCTCTAAAAAGAATTGGGACAATTATCCCAAAATGGCTTTTGAACAGAAAATTACAGAAACCTGGATTAAAATTTAATCCTGGATTAGCACTAACAGCCTTTGGGCCCTGGCTTTCATGCAACAGTTGCCCAAGGTAGCTGAGCTCTGCTAGAGCATAACCCTGTACAAAAAGAAGTATCTGAGAATTATATTCTGGGAGAAAAGGATCTTTTTCAGTCATTGCCTCTACAATTTTGATCTTGTTTGCACATTAGCATACAAATATAGTTTTCCTGCACCTTGACAATCTTGTCACCAACTTGTACACCTGTCCGGTGAGCTGCTCCACCTGTAAAACAAAATGGGTGATCAAAGAAGCAGTCATTACTTTAGGTCAAAATCTTGGGCTCAGTCTACAGTCCCTTCTGTGAGTGCCTCATTCATGGAGCTCCAACAGTGCATCAGCATCACTCTAAAAGTTCCCTGCAGTGCTCTAACAGCATTTTCCCCCTGATTTTCTTTTTACTTGTGTGACAGACTTTGTCAAAAAGAAGGGACTGCTTATTGTATACTTACATGTGGGATATTTCTTCAACACAAAGGAGATACACTATAAACTTGTGCTATTCACTCATTCAGTAGCACCAATAAATCCTTGCATTACACATTGTTAATTTCATATACATATAAGAGACAGAATTGTCATAAAAAAGAAGTTGTTTATGACTAATAAACACAAGTTGAATCATCACATTTGAAAGAGTTACTCAAAGAAAAGAACACAATTGCTGCAGATGTGAAGTGACAGTCACTGCAATGGTACTGGTACATACCTTCCTTTACAGACTGCACATAAACTGGATTGTCCCCTGTCACAGTCAGTCCATAGCCTTTTTCATCACGTTGAATGATGACACAGTGTTGGATCAAGTGTTGACCTGTGAGATAGAGAAAAAATTAAAGTGCTGCTGTTTCAAACTTTGGTAAGCTAGTTACCTTCAGCTGCCATTGAATTCAGAGCTACTATACTTTTTATTTTTTAACTTTTCCCTCACAAAAACTGAAAACAAAATCAAAATCCAATTTTGGCTTCCATCACAAAATCACTTTTCAACAACCTTATAAAAATTATTACTGCACACTCATGTAAAGCTTCTAGAGTCTCCCTATTAACCTCTTACACCAACCCTTGACCAATGTACAATACTCTAATATTGGCCTTATTGTAGATATGAAAATGGTAGCAGTTCTAAAATGTAGTTATAAAATGGCACACGCCCCTGACAGACTGACCTGCCTACCAGCCTTAGAAATAATGGCTGCAACACATTTGGCCAGCTGAGGTCTTAATCAAAGATGACAGCCAGAAACTTAAACTCAGGGAGTGATTAAGAAATTATTATCACCTTACCCACTGAACACAATGCAAATGTATAGAGGCTAATGTATACAAAATAAACAAATGTTTTCCTTGATACAATTCATTCAAAAGTTAAAATAAATTAAAATAGAGCCATTCCATTGAGGGGACAAATTTGTTTTAACAAGGTAGTTATTTCAACCAGCAATAAATATACAATCAAAGAACTCTGCCTTGGAAAACATTCCAGGCAAAATCATCTAGATAAACATGCTGTTACAAATAATAAAACAAGAACCATTTCATAGAATTTAGAAAAAAGATAACAAGTCCTTAAAAGACAGTAGTCTCCCTAACCAAATAAATTCAAACTTTTCACCGGTTCCCTTCAATCAAACTTGTGTTTTAGTTGATGAATAACAATAGTGTTATCCAGATTGTCCCAAACAAATTTATATTTGCAGATCCTCAAATACAAGATGACAGATAATATTAATCAAGTGTCCAAATCATGCACTAAACTGATCGAGGGTAGAAAATTTTGCAATGTGACTTCTAAAAGGAACACAAAAATCTCATTCAAAGTTTTCACATCAACATTTCCAAATTCTGGCATAAAATTAGCAGTTACCTGCAGGTACCATCAATCATCCTATTTGAGATACTTAAAGATTCATATCCAGGTTTGAAAGCAAACTATCAACAGAAATTCACATTAATACTAAAACCAGTCAGGTGGTTAAACTTTAAAAAATCAACAAAGGGACAAATTGTGTAAATACTGTATACCAAAATGTGTTTCAGGGTCATATTGGCCTGTCATTACCATGGAAACACAAAGAACAAGAATTCCTATTTTCCACCAAATCCCATTCACATCCCATCCTCATGCAATGACTACAGTTTGAAATTCTCTGTGAGATGAAGTTAAGTTATTACTAAGAATTTTCCTAGAATCAACTGATAACATAAATAACCTGGCAGTAAATATATGACATTTGTTCAGTCGTTTACTTGATACAAATAGCTGGGGAGGGATAAATGTTACATTGATCATGTTGAATGAGCAGTGAAATGAGCAATACGAAGACAATCGATAAATTGGTTCCAAAGACAAAGCTAGGTGATAAAAACACTTATTGAGAGCATGAGTGTTCATTGTGTTCCTCCAAATAACCACTTTGCCGATTAGAAGGAGGCAAGATATTAAAAAATTGATAGCAATGCGTCTGTTCGGACATTATACAATACGAAATGAGAAAACGACTCGAAAACATAGTGTAAATATTCTTTAACTGATGACAGGTACGTTATTATGGAACTGGGAAGGGGAGTTGAAACAAATTTTGGCGAACCTTTCGCAGCGGCGTAAAATGATCGTCTGAATAGTTAATCTTATCATTGAGGATCATATCGAGGGCAGTCTAAACAAAAAGCAGCGAGAAAATGTGAGGCGTAGAAAAACTATTGAAATTAAGCAAGAAAAGCCGAAGAGATCGTGAAAACAACCAGTGCCGATAATCCTTGTCATGGGAGAACGTCTGAAAAATTGATGGATTGAAAGAATATCTGTTAAGATCGAACACTACTTCACACGGAGAAAGTGTTTTGATCTCTACCTAGTAGGTTGACTTCTACAACGAAATGTAACTCACCTTCTTCGTTTTCGGAGAGGTCCATCATAAGCAACAAAGTCAGCCTTGACGGTAGGTCACCCTACAAAGCGAAACACAAATGCTCAATGATTTATAAAATGACCATAAATATAGCCACCAGTGATTAAACTTCCCTCGCAAGCCACTGAAAAAGTTCGTGGAGACGAGAGAGCAAAACAGACCCCACTTTTCACATAATCAAGAAATTCCAAACCCTGCATGCTATTCAGCTTTTAACACAAGTGGATACGTACATTTATAAAATTCTATTTCATTCGAGCTGTGTTCGTAAACGGAATATAATTCACCCGAAACACGAGAAAGGCCCCGCTAATACTGAATATATATTTCCTTCGCTACGGTCTAAGGTAATTTGTTAGTAAATGAAATGCTATTGCACTGTGTCAACCACTACTCGCACAAAATAAACCGGCACCTAACCTTTCTGCACAATCAGCTTGAAGCGATAAACAACGAAATAAATGGCAATCATTCTTTCACAGCCAATACATCGATTTACTGCGTGGAAGATCACGCAAAGTGTTTCAAATTTTCTTCAGCGTTCCGCCAGTGAATGGTAAAAAAAAAAATACACCTCCGTCGAACACTTGAATTCTTTGAATGTACAACCTTCAATGTTTCAACGTAAGATCTCGGTATCCGGAGGAAATCTGTCTCGTTTCGAAATAATAATCGCGCCTTCAGACTGAACAATGTCCTCCAACTCTTTCGGAAAAGAGGACGATTCGGTCCTGTACACTCTGGCGTAATATGCGGTCGAGGAAAAATGATGGAGCAAAACAAATCTCCTAATTTTCCAGCCCTCTTGCAACAACCAATATGGCGCTCGGATATTGTCGAGTAAAGTGCCCCTGATAAACACAAAGCAACTGAGACACCCCGCAGGTCCCGTTTCTATTTTTGTGCCCGTGTGATCCCTAGTTTGTTATCCCGAGTAACGCAAACGTAATTTAAGATTAATTTGCATATTGAGGCAAACATGAAAAGCCAGATCAAATGAACAAGTTACGTGCAGCGGCCTAAAGAACCAGGGAAAGGTAAATTATAAAAAGCATCTCTCGACTGGGGGGTAAATTCTGATATTAGCCGATGGTCAAAATTCCGTCATGTACAAAGTTGCTGCCCCATGCCAACTGGCAACGTATTCTGAAAGAAGCGTCGAAATTTCAGATGAATATCTTTTTCTTTGAAGTTCGCGTTTTCATTTTTATCAAAGAAACAAATTGGGATGTTTTTTGTTTTCTCTTAAAGTTATAACATCTCGCGAGCACGCCTACATCACGGTCCGCCTACATGCCACTTGTAAGAAAAAAGGAATGTTAAATCCGGAGGTGTTTTTGTCAACTCACTTCCTTAAGTCCCAAAGAATTTCCACACCAAGAGGTTACGAATAGTTTATTTTTTCTGGTGTGTGTCAATTTTACTGGGTAGTGTTCGAACAAAGCATAAAGTAGTCAGACTTCTAGGGAACATCCTTGTCCCCTTGGTTTCTCCTTGCTGCCTGACTAGACTCCTTCCAAGAAATCTGCTGCTATTTTGAAGCCTTGTTTTTGTTTTGTTTTGTTTTGTTTTGTTTTGTTTTTTCACCCGCATAAAGAAAAAACCGAATTCTAACTATATTTCCCTATAAAATGATCGGGAACCTACTAAAAACCAATTCTGTTATCTGACCTACCAAGGAAGACACTCATAAGAATAAGCTTATGTACCTGATAGGCTATTTCGAAAAAAAGACATAAACATCCTGGTTACATCTAGAAGATTATGTGTTGGAATGTAACCAGGATATGAAATTTTTTCTCCTGTTTTCACAACTTTGCTGTGTATGTCATGTCGTCATATTTGGCATGATACCTGATCCGCGTAGGACGATGCAAAAGCTAAAGGGCGGGTTCAACATTACCATGTCATAAGATGGGAATCTGTAGCCACGTAATAAGGAAATAATTTTTGTTATTGTTATCATTTAAACATATTTGTCACTGTTTTTCCCAAAAGCAATTAGGTTTATCATGAGGGCCTATAAATTTGAAATCATTTCTAGTGGCTCTGTAAGAACACACCCACTCAAACGACACATGCATAAACAAATTACCACGACGAAGAGTTAAATTTAACAGCCAAATATATATTATATTAAAAAAAAAAAAACAATCAAACAGTGAACACCGAAAAGCGATTATCCGTGATTAGTTATGTAATTCTGTTGCCTCATAACCAGACCTTACACAGCCAAGCGGTTGTAAGGTTCAGTTACAATTACACGGTAGGATCTGGGCACGAGATTAATTATTAAAACTTTACATTTCGCGAAAAATAGCGCACTTGACATCGTAAGTGTAATACTCCGGTAGATCGGCCTAACCTTGTAAGAGCTGACTCTTAATTCACTGATGCAAACTGATTTGAAAACTCAGTGCAGCTGATCATAAGTCTCTAATCAAAATCGAGGGTAGCAGCTATAAATAAGACTGTTTGAAGAAAAGTAACAACCAAACGCGTTAAGGTAGGTCTAAATAAAGGCTCTCAAATAAAAAAAAAATAATAATTAGCAAGGCTGTTGAGATTATTTATGCCTTAAACAAGGTGGTGTCACCATATTCGACATCGTAATAACCTTTCATTCTTTATCGCAATCTTTAATACTTTTGTCTTGAAATAAATTTGAAGGGCCATCACGGTTCACTCTGAGCAACTCCTTGTATCTTCATCATAATCTTCAACAAAACATTGCCATCTTATTCTTACCATGACAGATCGGGGAAACTGAGGTCCTCAGCTCGGAGTTGACAGTGAATTAGGGAAAACTGGTCTCAGCAGTATTAACAGAAGACTGAAGGCGATTATAGAAGAGCTTGACCGGCTGGGGAAATCGCTCACATAGCCAGCCACATACGCTTTGGTGATACCTAGAATCTAATTGAACTTACAGGTTTTAGTACTAAGCTTTTCATCTTAAAAATACATCTCCATTTTCCGCATTCCACTGGTTCGTTTCAGATCACGCATCGAAAGTTAATCAAGTATGTGTATTATCTGTTCATCAAATGTAAGATATCCTATGTCGTATCCTCTTTCTGAGTATTTTTGATAGCCATCGCATTATCTAATCGGTCCTGTCCGACTACAAGGAATAGTCTCACGTTTATATAAACAGACCCACTCAAAGGCACGTGCTAGTGACTTATATCGGGCGATAATGTGACGAGCCAAACAGGCACGGCTGCGCGTAGACTGCCCAAAGCGTGATGACATGACAAAGTTAAAATAGATTACTAGATTTTTCTGATTGTAGATCCAGATATAGCCAGTCAAGGTCACACTCATATCTGCAGACATCCTGAGATCGAGAGACCACCAACAAATTTTTGTTTGTTATGGCAACTTCCCGTCGAGTCATAATGGCTCACCGAGAAACATTGTTTTTGCATGGAAGCGGATAAAATTGTATGATTAAATAAAGAGAAAATGTCGAGTAAAGGTGAAAATCAGGAACAGGTGGTAACTACAAGTGTGCCCTATCACTCTCAAGAAATTCCCGTATACGAAAATGAGCTCACTAGAAACGGTTTTTAGTTGTCTTCCGCTGGGGACTCGCTTATAAAGTGTAATTCAGAATGGGCAACAATCTGACCGCGTCATTTCCACTCAAGATGTCTAATGGTATGTGATCACATAGCGAGCCAATAGACTGGCGTAAAAATACCAACATTACGAGGAAAAAAGAGCCGCCTAATGGAATTCAGTACTTCTGCCGCAAAATATAAAGGTACTTGATTGATTTACGGATTATAAACTAACTTAATTCTCAAGAGAGTAAACTTATATCCTCTGAAAAATCATAGACATATGAATGTAAATCAAGAATGGTGTTGCCAAGGACACTACAGAGCAAAGTAAAATAAAAAAATAATTGAGTTAATTTACTTTCTTCTTATTGGGCCCTCTTTGCGTTATTGTGTGTCTTTTTTTGTTTGTTTGTTTTTTTGTTGTTGTTTTTTTCACTTTGCTATTATTGCCATCCGATCTATCATACTTCCACAAACAGAAAGAAACAGTGAGTATACAGTGAGCCGGATCAGTGAAAATGGCAGCGATAACAGCAACTGTCGGGAGAGTAGACTGCCCAGGAAACCAGAATCGAGAACATGCAGCTAATGACGCTGCGCGCCAGGTCTAAAAATAGATATGTCATCTTTGGACCCCCCGCTGGTTTAGGACAAACACTCGGAGTCTTTACAAGGACTTGTAAGCGAAACGTGTCAGAAGCAAGACTATTTTCGCTCAAAAAATGCTCTAACTTTCTAAAATGGTTGCAACTAGGCATTGCTGTTGGGGTACATGTAAAAATGACTCAAGATATCCAGAAAGATTGCCAGATTCGCTTAAAGAAATGCTTAAAAATGGT